TATAGTAAATCCTTAATTATGCTAGTTTTAGCCTTTAAATAAAGCTATAGGTAGAAAAGCGCTTATATACTATATAGGTTCTTTTTTAAGATTAAAAAGGACTAAGCCCTTTTTTTTAAAAAATAAGCAGACTATAGTTAACTAAGACTTAGCTAATTTATACTAAGCCTAATTATTTTAGTTTTTCCTTTAAGTCTTTTAGTAATTAAGACCTTATTAAAGTTATCCTTTACTAAACCTCCTTTAAGATTAATTACTTACCTCCTTTTTATATATTCCTCCCTTTACTAATATTAGTAAAGAATAATAAAAGACTTACCTTTTATAAGTTTACTAGTTCTTTATTAAAAGCAGCTAGGAAATAAGAGCTATAAATAATACGCTTTATACTATGCTTTATATTATTATTAAAGGCATTAATTAAGTAGTTATTATTAGTAATTACTATATACAGGCCTTAGAACTATAAATAAGAGGTTAGTTTTATAAAAGTATTACTAAAAGACTTTACTTTAGTATAAAGGTAATATAATTTTAAAAAGTAATATAAAGAAAGCATCTATATATAAGCCTGCTCTCTTTTATAAATTATTAAATAGCTATTATTTTTAATAAGTAATATAGGCAATTATACTACTTTAACCTTATAGAAATTAGTTAAGAAAAAAGAGCTATTTAGGCTGTTAAACTCTAGAATGCCTTTATAAATATAAATAAATATAAGGATATATTTAATCTATATATTATACTATATATAATATAAATAGGAGATACTAAATATAGCTATTTATGCCTAATATAGTTCCTCTTAACACTTTAAGGATTAGTAAGAATTTAAGTAGGCTTATATAAAGAAGATAAAGTAAAAGGGCTCTTAAAGGCTAAGTCCCTTTTTAAAATAGTTTAAGCTTAACAGCTACTATTTAATCTATGCCTTAAGGATTAGTGCCTTTTTAGCCCTAATATAATAATAAAAGGCTATATAAATATAATATACTTAACCCTTAAAGGCATAGCAGTAAATAAACTTAGCATTAACTACTATACTAGCCTATTCTAATATAAATAATATACTAACTATTACTAGGATATAATACTGCTTATTAATATAATAGTAAATAAATAAGTATAGGCTAGAAATTTAAAGACTAAAAATAACTATACTTAAGTTAGAGGATAGTTTTTATTAAATTATAAACTAGGTTAAATAGCAGCATACTTTAAAAGAGAATGCACTTTTATTTACCTTAAGAATAAATTAATCTTAAACCTTTTATATATCTCTCTTAGTGTTTTAAACTTTCTGCACTTTTTATAACCTTTATTAAAAGCGCCTTTAGCTTAACCTTCTAAGACCTTATTATAAAACCTATTAGTCTGCCTTTTATTAAGAATATTAAGGGTAGTGCTAATTAAAGTTACTACCTCTGCTTTTATATCCTAACTACTACTATTTAAACTTAAAGATTAAATAATTACTGCCCTCCTACACTTATAATCTGCTTTATATACCTTAACTAAGGATCTTTATAAGCAGATAAAGGCTAATACATAAATAGCTAGACCACTAGCTAGTATTAAAAAAGCCGCTTAAAAATTAATTATACTTTTTAAAAGCTTGCTTTAAGAGCTGGCTAAAGCTTAGTTAAATCTATTAATACTAGATATTAATAAGGTATTTAATAAAAGCAGGTTTTAACTTATAAATATACCTAGATTATAGTTATTCTAGTTTAAAACGCTATAATTAAAGGCGCTATATAGCAGTTAGCTTAAGCACTAACCTAGATTTAGTGCTTAAAAGGCAGGTAAACTAGTTTATAAACTAAAAACTCCTGCTTAATAACAGATCTAAACAGTAAGCTATATATATTCCTTAAATATGCCTGCTAGATAAGGATTTATTTAATCTTATAACCTTATACTAGGCTATATATAAGCAGGAGATAAAGATAAAGATAAAGGCATAGATAAAAATATAAAAGAATAAAGAACCTTTACCTAGTTAATTACTAAAGCTATAGTAGATTTTAAGAAAAATAGAAAGTCTGCTAAATAGAATTTAAAAACTCCTTAATAAGTTATAGATTCTTTTAATAAGGAAATTAACTAATAAAAGCTAGAAATATTAAGTAAAGCTAGAAAAGAGATAATAGTAAAGGTAGTGTTATTACTTTAAGATATAGGACTATAAGAAGTGTTTTATATAAAGCACTTAGACTTATATTACTTATTAACGCTTAAGGGTCTAATAGATCCTAAAGCCTAGAACTAGATTAATAAAGCAGTATAAATATTCTTATACCTAGCATGCACTTAAGGATTATATAATAAGAGAATAGTATAAAAGGATATATAATAAGAATAATAATAAGCGCTATAAGGAAAATAGCATAAAGGAAATAAAAGATAGTGCTAGATTAAATAATCTATAGCTATAGAGATTAATAAAGTAAAGCATAAAGGTAAAAAAGGAGAGACTAAGCGCTAGGTAAAAAAGTTTTATATTTACTTTTACTTTACTTTATATAATTTTATATACTTAGTTATATATAAGGTTATAAAGGTTTATTTAATTAGTATATTATAAAGGAGGTATTATAAGAAATAGGTTAAAGTTAATAGTATTAAGATAAGGAGATTAAGACTTTATAATATTAAAGAGTTTTAATAAAGAGGATTTTATAGTAGGAAGTATATAGGCCTAAGGCTAGGTAATAAATAAAGGTATAATAAGGCTAATTAAGTAAGACTAAATAGCTATAGTATATAAAAAGGAAGATATTTTTAATCTTAGATAGAAAATTAAGTAAGTTAGTCTTTAAAAAATAAGCCCTAGATTACTAGACTAAGCTAGAATAGCTTAGTCTTTATAAGATTAAATAGTATCTTAACTTATTTATATATAACAGTCCTAATAGTTTATTAGTAAATAGATTTCTTATAAGACAGTTTAGTTATAAAGAGGTAGTGTTTAAAGGTATATGCTCTAACTATTAATAAACTATATAAAGAAAAATAGGCTATTATTATAAAAAACTAGTATTAAATTAAATATCTTATTAATATTAGTTATTTATTCTTATAAATAATAAATAATATTAATAACTGCTTATATACTACCTTAGTAATAACTATTTAATACCTAAAAGTAAGCGCCTTATATTTTTTAATTATATTAATTAACTTCTAGAAGAGTATTTAGTCCTTATTAACTACCTGCTAGTAAAACTCTCTTATTCTAGCTATTACCTTTACTTAAGCTAAGCTAGAAAAGTATATTTTAATTATACTTAAGGATTAGGATATATATTATATTATATAGCTATTATGCTTACTTAAAGGTTATCCTAATCTAGATATAAGATAGACTAGTGCTAAATACCTTAATTTTTTAATAAGAGATTTAAAAAATACCTTTAAAGCAGCTTTTATTAGCTATTATAAGTAATACTATTACCTAATAGCACTAAAAGCCAGCGCCTCTTATACTTTATAAGATAATATTTATATAATCTTATTTAGCCTTAATAAGGTATATTTCTATAATAATTATATATAATAATTAATCTCTTTTTAACTAATTATTTTATTAGACTTAAAATCTATTATAATAAGTAGATTAAACCTGCTATAACTTCTTTAATAAAGGTATTAGTTCTTATACCCCTCTTTTCTATTATTAAGTCTAATTATCTTAGCTTATAAAGAATAAGACTATTTATTAATTCTAGTTATGCCTTTTTTATATCTTATAATATATTTACCTAGCTTAAATAGCTAAAGACTTTCTTACTATATAACTAAGTAGTATTCTTTTAAAAAGAGGTTAAAGTATTTACTATTAAATCTGCTATTTTAATCACTCTTGCCTATATATTTAAATAATCTAAAAGTAATATAATATCTACCTCTTTAAGCAAGAGGATTATTAATAATAACTTCCTCTCTTAGGCTATAAGAATTACCTTAATTAATAAATTAAGGGGTTATATAATATATAGCTTTTTAAACTTAAAAAGGCATTAAGCTATTTATATATTCTATAGGCTATAAATACTTATCTTACTACACTCCTTTAGCTTATAAAGCTAGTAAAGTAAGAGATTATAATAGCTTAATAAGTTAATAAGCTAAATTCTATATTATCCTTATTTATTTTAAAAGGTTAAGAGACTAATTTTATTAATAATAATAAAGATAATAATAATAGCTATCTTTTTATAAGCCCTTATTTACCCTAGCTTAAGTTTATAACTCTTAATATTTTAGCAAGCTTAAGTTTCTAATCTTAAATATTACTAATAGCTTATTACTTTAGCTACCTATATTAAAGGGCATATATAGGATTATCCTTATAATAAAACAGCACCTAGCTATAACTATAATTATCAGGGCGTTTAAGAAAGCTAATAGTAAAGGCGTTAAAGCGTAATTAATATATAGTATATATAGTTATCTTTTAGAAATACTATGCATTTTATAATAATCTCTTATAATAATCTATTTAAGAACTTTATTTAATTTTTAAACACTTTATAAACTAACTGCCTAAAATAAATATACTTATTAGGCATTGCCTATATGCATAGCCTATTAACCGCCTAAAAAATACCAGGCGCCTAAATTAAGCGCCTAAATTAGGCGCTAGTTATTAATACGCCCATTTTTACACCTAAACCCCGCCTATAGGCCAGCATGCCGCCCTATACCTAAAAATACCCATAGGTTATTACAACTTTACTCCAAGTCACCTACCACAGGGCAAGGCCCATATCCCCCATCTCTTAAGAGAAAACAAAGCTTGGTAGCAATTTCTTTACGCCGTGCTGAATACTCGTGCCGGTACTGTGCGTATCCAGACAAGAGGATCACTACTGTGGAAGCTGAAGACTCAGAAGTGTAATAATAGCATCATGGCTTTGTATATGCTGCCGATTGCTGCTACGACTCACTTGGAAGAAGTCGTCGAGTCCGGGTCGCCAGTTTAAGCTTATACCATGCCCATGTTTGATGTTTTGCAGAAAGACTTGTCGCTCAACGCTACAACGATCCGTCGCACCGCGGTGCCGTCTTACCAGTCAACGAGCTTCGAATGCGTATGCCACGACCTCGGCTTATCTTCTTCGCCACGTCCTGCAAAACTTGGTCAATCGGTTCCTGACTTTCTTCGGGATGCTCCGTCAACCGTCTCTTGCCATGTTTCGTTTCAGTGCCATTCGAGCTGCTCTTCATCGGGTCCATCCCGGTCCACCTTTGTGTGGCTCGATCGTCAGGCCAAGTCCATGTGGGAGGGTGGCGAATGGGGCACGAAGCGGCCGTCTCAACCTTGGATTCTTCCGCATTCAAATGCTGCTAGCATGAGTAGCTGGGCATTTGTCCGGATCAGCTCGGCTGCTTGTAGAGTTACATGCACTCAAGCTGCGTACTGTGCGTACGAAACGAAGGTGGAATGTTCTCCCCTGGATGACGATGGGAGATTTGATGGTTGCTCCTCATCTCTAGTCTCCGGTTGAATGGATCGCTGGCTTGGCAGTGGGTGCTGTTGGTTGCTGATGGGACTCTAGATCGATCTCTTGTTGGACCTAATTCCGCCGGTCCGGTGAGCTCCCTCTCTCAATTTCAAGACCAACAAAGCATCTGCCCTAGATTTATGACAGTCACCGCAACAACTTGGCCATTTTGCATCTCGTGGCAGTCGAGGGTCCTCTCGGCAGCGTTCCGCCAGTTGTACCTGATCCTCTCCGCACAGCTCAGGAGGAGCACGGACACTGCTTGACGCCTGATCTGGATGAGCTTTGCTTTCGCCTCCTCACAGGCCAGCTTTTATTTTGCAGGAATGTCATTGCAAGCGGGTACAAAAGTTCCGCAGGAGCAACATTTGCTACCATACTGGGCTTGCCGTTGCTGAACTCTGTGGACTAGGCCAAGGACGGTACTATACTGGATAATTGACCTCAGAAGGGAAAGATATCCAACAGGAAAGGATATGGTGTCAGCACAACCCAGGGTTTTGAATGCTTGGCAAACACGGGCGAGGACCTCCAGCGGCCATCTTCCAACAGGCTGGACTAACGGTCCGCTACGATATGGCTGGTATGCCCACATCAGCCTTTCACGATCTCGTGGCATGATACTATGGTGATTAGATCACTCCCCAAAGACACTGATCACTGGGAAACGTCGCCGCTAGGTCTGCGGTGAGACAATCCATTGGTTGACAAAGAAGTAGGGGCCGCAAGCAGCAGCGACTGGCACATCATATCTCTCGCCGGGCTGTCTGCTAAACGGCATAGTACTCACCACAGATATGGTATCATTCACTCAAATCATCATTAAGTATGTGACTCGAATCAATTGAGGAGGAACTACTACCGTTTACAGAAAGAATACACCTCTTCATGAAACACATAAGCCTTATGTCACCAAGGCCTCCGATCGTACCTGGGATTCCATAACCCTTACCAGCCTCATTGACCCGTTGGCTACGAAGGACACAGCCTGTCATACCCCCTATATTCTTTCGGAGCCGAAAAGGCAAACAAACTGCTCAATCCAGTCTTTTGGACGCTTCGCAAAACGTGAAAGAAACCATCTCTCACAACTACTTTCCATCGTCTTGATACCCCATTTGAGTGGCACCGCTCGTCAAAGGAGGCATTGACAGAACTTAGAACAGACAAACTCTTCCAGCACAGCATTATCAGCCTGTTGCTGGGCTGATTGCCTCCTCTGTATGAAGATCGGTTAATGTTTCGGCTTCGTCGGCCCTTGGGCAACCTTGGTGCCTTTCATCATGAATTTCCACCATGCAGTCTCCTCCGCGTTGAAGTCGACGTTGTTCATGATCGGTATAGCTTCGTCCCCTTTCAACTCCCAATTTTCCTCAACCGAGTAACGAATCTCTGTGCGAAGAACATCACGAGGGTCCGCAAACGCTGTGTCGAGGACGCCCTGGAGGTCAGTTACGGGAGACATCTCTGGTGCTTCAACCACCATCGGGGGCTTCTTCAAACCGCGAGGCCAGTCCTGCTGTCTGGGCACCTCGAGGAAGAACAGCCCAACATCTGCAGAAACGCCAGGTGGTAAGCTCAGACGAATGCCCGTATACGGTTCGTGGTACCTCGTTTTCGGCGCGACACACAGAGCCTCGCGGATCCAATCAAAGATCCGGCGATAATGGTCATCGTCATCCTCGTTCTCGCGCTTTCGGAGAAATGTGGCGGCTTGCGAGGCTGCTGCGTTGCGTCGATCATCTGCGGACGGCATGGGCAGGAACATGGCCACGTCCACAGCGGCGCTCTGTATGAAGAGCTCTTTGACTTCATCTGCGTTCCACTGGGTCCTCCCACGGTTCCAAAACTTCTTCTTGGCCCAGTCTTCCGCGTTGCCAAGAGTGCGCTGGAGTCTGGTGGCGAGCACCTTGACGTCGGCCTCGGCTACGAGCGGTCGCGGCAGTGTGTAGCCCTGCTGAGCGAGCTCTCTAATGTACACTTTGGACTTGGTGCCAATGTCGGGTAGAAACTCCCGGACATAGCTTAAGTTGACGACCAGCAGATAAGCCATTGGGCCTCTGGTGCCGTTCATGCCGTACTCGGCCATGTCGCTGGTGGTTGGAATCCATTCTGAACCGGGAAATGGGAGCAGACGTGCCTTGAAGTACGTCTTCCCGCAGTTCCACGCCATTTTCTGCTTCCAGGCGAGTTCTTCGTCGAGCCATTGTTGGCCAATGAGGGCATTGGAGTAATCCAACTTCTCAATTCGATGGTCGCAAAGAGCTTGGAGGTCGAGAACACCAGGGTTAATCTTTCTCTTGTCGGTGAGGAAAACATACCAATCTCGCTCCCAGCCCCGGGCGTACGGGAACACAAACTGGATAGAGACTTGTTCGCTCGGTTTTTTGCCGTCAAAGGTCGACCTGAGTTTCTCCACGATGGATCTGAGTCCAGCTGGCTGACTGCCGATTCGGTCCCAGAACTTGGCGGGATAGGACACTGCGATTTTGTGGACGTCGATGACGGTTTCGAGTCGCACGGCCTCCCAGGTGGTCCTGAAGACGAGCACCCATGTCGGCTCATTACTCGGGATACCCTTGAAATAATCCAAATCATGATGGCGGTATCGCGAGTAAGACACACCAACAGGATCGCCCGGCTGCTTGGGGAATATATGCCTAACTTCCGGTCTCTCACTCGGACGGAAGGAGTCAGCATCCATCGGTTTCTCGGTTTGGCCCATGGGAAGGGTAAGGATGGCGAAGTCCTGAATGTCATCCCCGTTCCTGACTTGGAGCCGGATGATGAGGGTAGAGGGGATGCGAGGACCCCATGCCGTCTGGACCTCCACTCGGAGACCTGGGGCGACGCTCCTTCCTACGCGTGCAATGTGGTGATTGGCGAAGCCGGGGAGAATTTTGTGGTTGATGTACATCAGCACACTGTTCCAAGCGGAGATTTCATTTGGGAATTCGTTAAATTCTTCCTCGAAGGGGACGGTAGGGCTGCGGCCGCCTTGAGCAGCGGGAGTCTGATCTGCGAGGGGTGGCGGAGTTGCCTGCGAGGCATCAGGAGCGTTGGATGCCATCTTCACATCTGAAACTGATGGGGAAATTCTGTTGGCGATGGATGACCAGAAGTGAGAGTGACGGTGGTTTGAAGCGCGGACACTCTCTGTGTGGGACGCGTGCAGAGTGAAGGAGGAAGAAGAAACCTGTGGGAGCCCCGAGTATAAGAACAAAAGAAAACAAACTTTGGGGCGAGGACGCGTTCATTACCTGGTGGCAAGCTGCAACCAAAAGAACACACAAAGTTCATTCGTCGTGGTAGAGCGCGTGGTGGCTGTCACAAGGCTGCCAGCTGGTTGCCAGCTGGCGGCCAAAAGCCCTAAGCTCGAGGGTTCGTGGCACATATGCTTCTTGGAATTTCATGGTCCTTGTTCTCAGACACTTTTGTGCGGCTATCTGCATGCGTGCCGTATTCTATGCGGTAAGTTCGTTTGTTTCTCTCGGATGGCATCTCGGATGGCAAACGGCTTGTGAAGTGTCTCGTGCTTGCGTCCCTTATTGGGACTCACTGAGTAGGTGACAACGAGCAACTATCAAGCCTTTGACTCCACATGAGTCTTGACGCTCATAAGAAATCCGGCCATCATATTTGTATCAGTATATGCTGGTTTCACTCATGACACTTCACGATTGAGGGGATGTTGCCATACTTAGGTTTTCGTCTCCAGACGCAAACTCAAAAGCATCTTTGCAACGAGCTTATGCCTATTTAGGCCCCAGAAAGGGTTTTAGTGAAAGTAGAATGTGGTAACCGGCTCCTTCGCCCAAAAGCTTTCTGCGATGTCTAGGACCAGTTCAGTGTTGGCTCTGCCCGGATAAGGTAGCTTAAAACGCCACAATCAGAATTGTTGAGCTTGTAGAGTGAAGCTCAAGCTAACCTTTTTGACGAGCAGCGACGATGTCGCGCACGGGTTGATAATTGCCATCATTTCTATTTACTCAGAGGAGAAATATAGCGCTGAAGAGACAGGATATACAGCAACAGTAGGTATGTTGTGAGAGGAGGACAACGAGCGGGCTTCACGTATTACCGAAGGATTCAACGACCGAGGGCTATAATTCTCCTACCTATCCTCATAACCAGATCTTTCACTTATTGGCAGCTCGAATATTGCTGAGATTGGAAGCCATTGTCCTTGTCTGGTGAGTCCTCCCATGTATTCGTACACCAGCAACGCCAGCCGGCCACACCTAACCACAGTGTCAATGTTTGGCGCCTCGGTCAACCAAGTAGAAAAAGCTGCAGCAGCTATTGCAAGAGCAGAACTGAAGGAGACTACCCATAAAGATGCAACATGGGGTCACAGAGCATATAGCACTAGGGTATTACCAAGAGGCCGTGCACGAAGGTGCTTTTTGGCCGCCTTCAATATGTGTTGCTCATGCTTTTCCTGATGATTGATGCCAGTGCGTGATACTGTGTTTTGCTGTGGGCTATGGCAAGATCGATCCCGGGGATGGATTTACTCAACCTTCGAAAGAAAATTGGGTTATCTATCCAAATAGATATTCTTGTCTATTGAACAGGAGGACTCTCTCTGATTTTCTCTTCGTTGGATCATCATTATGAATACCTACCGCTGGGTTGTCGTCCCCCTGATGACTAAGCATCAGCGATCTACCAAGACAAGCAAGGGTCAATGTTCGCGGAAATTCCTTCTGCCGAGCAATGACGTGCAGGTCTAAAATTAGCGTCAATAATAGGGTAGCCAAAGCAACTGCAGGAACGACAAGACAACTGCTTGAAGTTTCGCCGGTGAGGAAAAGAAACAACAGGGAAGAGATCCTCAATAATCATCTGAAAATTGCAATAAGCTCCTTTACGTCGTTTAGTGACGTTTAGCCTCATTCAGATTAGTGTCCGAGGCTCAAGAATTAAGATTCAACCGTAGGTATCAACTAAAGTTGCCGTGAGGATCATCTCTGTTGCTCATGAACCAAGGAGCCAGTGAAAGTATCTACACACGCCACCGGTCATCTTGATATCTAGAGCAACGATATCAGCGCGAAGGTCTCAAATGTCTCCTGCGAGAGCCGAATGCTGGAACATGATCACGTTACACATGACTGCGGACGTAGGACGAGCGAGTATCTTAACTCCGCCCAGACTTGGCAAGAACAAATTGCACAATCTGGTCACTGGGATCAAAAAGTCTGGAGCCTGAATACCCAGCAAATAGCGCTTTCTGAAAAATGATACCTTCAATAATCTTTCTTGGATATCATTTACAATTTTGCTGGCGAAACTCGGTGTTGCCGCAGCCAAGACGTCTAATGTTTTCTGTGGCTTCGAGGTGGTGGCACGTCACTACACCGATATTCGCCATCTGGATGCTGAGTAACTCTCCGGCTGCGATTAGCGGGGCCGATCCAGTGCCCCACGTTGGCAAGGCTGCACAGATGAATGGCTCCGAGCGTCCTCACCAGCCACACCTCAGGCACAAGAGGCAGGTGGTGCGCAACCACTGCGACGCCAGAGAAGAATTGCCATGGACGGTGTCATGGTATCAAAGCAGTGAAACCCGCATCAAGTTTTCTATGCAAGTATTATAATGGCGATGATAGATTTGAGACGAGCAACATATGTAAAGTATGTCGCCTTCATCAAATCTGACATCTCGACCTGTCGGAACGCCCGATTTTTCCAGAGCTTTCCCCTGGCAACTGTGGCTTATGCCTAGTGTCAGCCACTCCAACTCGCTATCATGTCCACTCATTCCAGCCACCCAATCGAATTATCCGAGTGTTCCCGAGGCCCCCCCTGCAACAATTTTTTTCAAGCCCCTAGACTAGCGCCGGTTCGGCAAGGGAACAGCAGCAACGAAAAGACCTCAAAACAAAAAGGCCGCCGCTTTTCATCACCGCCCTCCCCCAGACGAAAACTTCAATCTTCTCCACGTCGAATCTCTCTCGATTCTGCTAAGCCTTCTTCTTCTTCGTCTTTCCTCCCCACTCAGTGTTTGTTCGCTGCTTCAACTCCTTCAGTCACAATGGCCGCTGCTCAGGTTTCTCTGTCCGAGCCCAAGAAGCTCGAGGGCTTCTCGCTCTACTCCCGCTTCGCCCTCGCCGGCGCTGTCTGCTGCTCCGTCACCCACGGTGGTCTGACTCCCGTCGATGTGTATGTTGACCCTTCTCCAGTTGCTGCTCCAATTCTTCCCTGTTGGAAGTTGGGCCATGATCCATCACATATCCCTTCAGATGGAGGCCCCCTTCCTACCGCCTTTTTTTAGCATGTGAAAAAGCGAACCGCCGTGCTGACCGATCCTTTTCCACGATACAGCGTCAAGACCCGTATCCAGCTCGACCCCGTCACCTACAACCGCGGCCTCATCGGTGGCTTCCGCCAGGTCATCCAGAATGAGGGCGCTGGCGCTCTCCTGACCGGTGCCGGCCCTACCTTCGCCGGTTACTTCCTGCAGGGTGCCTTCAAGTTCGGCGGTTACGAGTTCTTCAAGTCCCAGTTCATCAACGGCCTGGGCCTTGAGACTGCCTCCAACAACCGAACTGCCATCTACCTGGCCTCCTCTGCCGCCGCCGAGTTCTTCGCCGACATTGCCCTCTGCCCTCTCGAGGCTACCCGTATCCGTCTCGTCTCTGAGCCCACCTACGCCAACGGCCTCATTGGCGGTTTCTCCAAGATGCTCAAGAACGAGGGTATCGGCGCCTTCTACGCCGGTTTCGGACCCATTCTCTTCAAGCAGTAAGTTAACTCGAGCCGAAATTGGACTCAGCTGGGCATCACGCTGACATTATGTGTCCAGGATCCCCTACACCATGGCCAAGTTCGTCGTCTTCGAGAAGGTTTCTGAGGCTGTCTTCCGTACCTTCCCCAAGGAGAGCCTCTCCGACGGCATGCAGACCACTGCCAACCTGGGCTCTGGTCTGATTGCTGGTTTCGCTGCCGCTATCGTTTCTCAGCCCGCCGACACCATGCTCTCCAAGATCAACAAGACCAAGGGTCTCCCCGGTGAGGGCACCACCAGCCGCCTGATCAAGATCGCTCGTGAGCTTGGTCTCCGTGGCTCTTACACCGGTATCGGTGCTCGTCTCTTCATGGTCGGAACCCTGACTGCCGGTCAATTCGCCATCTACGGTAAGTGGTTACCAAAGACTCATAGACTCCTTCGGAGAAAGGTCGAATCAAAACTGACATGATGGGCACAGGTGATCTCAAGAAGGCTCTGGGCGCCGTCGGCGGTGTCGAGATTGCCAAATAAATGCACTTCTAACGACTTGACGACAAAAAAACGGAGTATGAGGAAGACGCGTGAAGACAAAAGTTGGACCGAGATTTCGAAGATGGGGCAGCTATATGGATACTGCCCAAGGGCTGGGCTTTCCTACCATATAGAAGGGAAACAGTCTTGATTTTGACGGGGAACTTAAGGTTCCCTGTTTGGTTGTTTGGCCGGGTTGAAGGATGCGGTTCTAGAAACAGGCGCTGGTATACATCTCTTGGTTGCCTAGAGTAGAGTATAGAGTCGGCAGACCACTTGGCACCCCCGCTAAGGGTTGTATAATAGTCAATCTTCTTGCGTTATCTAATAGACTTGGTTAAAGCCATGCACTGTTTCTAATTCGCAGTCAATGCTGCATCTTGGGGTGCTTGGATAACGTAACTTGGTGGTGATTACTGTTTTTACTTATGATCAATGAATAGCTTGGGCCTTGCAAGCGGTAGATAAGAGAACGACGTCATAGGCAACATATAAATCTGACATTAAGATAGAAGGCTGGACATCACGCCTGGAATGGTCAATACCTACTTTACCAAAGCCATATGTAGTGGCCGCCCGGATGCCCTTGCCACTTGTCTATCAGGCAAAGGAGTGTCATTGCAACCTGGCTGGCAGCGACTATTCGCGAGATTTTACCAGGCACGAAGGGCTGCTTTGATATGTGAAGCTGATTCACTTCTTTCGGCGCATTAGAGGAGAGTAATGTCAGTATAGCACATTGTTCCGACCCAGAGTGGGTTCCAATCGACTTCAAGGAAGTGAAGGCCAGGAGCACAGCTGCTTCCAATCTCGGCTCAACACCAGCACATTCCCGTGGCCATGCGTATCTCCAGCTCTACAGTTGCTTCTGACAGATTTCAAGGTGACGACCTCCCGATTAACTGAGCTTGTTGGGTGCCGGTCACCTTCACCAACGACACCAAAGCATTGCAGACACCGTTACCTTCGTACTAGGTAGGTACGTCAAACGCACTTGCCTCTCCGCCAGCTGGCAGGCAGCACCTTCCTAACTTTTCTTCGCCGCGATTCACCGCCAGATGACCAAGTTCATTCTGCACAACTTCTGATTCTTTCTCTCCGTGCCTCAAATTTGAATTTCTCCTCCCCATCTTCTTGCCCCCCTCTTTTCAAACCATCTCGTACATTGAGCTACTTGTCAACAATCCAAGAGCCTGGACCCATTGTTCATTACCAAATTAACCTCCGGGACTATTCGTCATCATCTTCTTGGGAAACCATGAGGCATGCCCATCGGCGGAGGCGAGGCATCAGAGTCCCTGCCGGTTGTTTCGTCAACCAGGAGCATCGAAAGCATACATTGATCAAGGGACTATCAAATGAGATGACTTGGACTGAACAACTCACCAGAGAATGCGGAGAAACAACATTCAGAGCCCATCTTCTACCCTTTCCGAGCTCAGCATGGATACCTCGCGGAACGGACATGGAAGTGTTTGGCATGGCGGCAACCAACGAGCCGAGAGCCTACCTCATGACCATTGGCCTTGACGACATCCGCCACGTACTCCCTAGCATCGGCTCTACTGTCAAAGTTGAACTCGACGTCGACCAAATCTTCCATACCGCACCCAACTTCTGCCTCGAGGGCGATGCGCTCGATGCTTTGACCACGGCCATCCAAATAGGACTACGCCTTGTGGAAAGAACAGCCTATGGCGCCGTGAAAGACGCTGATAAATCGGCTGACGAGTTACTCCGCGACGAAGGCTGCGAAGGTGACAAGATCCGCTGGCAGGAGATTATGAATTCTCTTACGCTCGACGAGTACGAAAAGCGAGCCAAAGACTACCTCTTTGGATACAATGCCAGGGTTTCTAATGAAGCCATCCTCGCAGTGCCTTCCGGAGACACTGAGATGCGCCGAATGTACGACGCTAGGAGATTTGCACTGCAACTGCGTGAGAAACCGGGGGAGTCGAAAGATGAGCATACACGGCGCATTCAAGACTGGATTCGGGAGAAAGAAGTTACGTGTCAGATTCCAGTCGCCAAACAGCCTCTTGTTGGTCACCGGATCAAGCTTCCGCCTGGAATCACAGCTGGTGTTGCCTTGTTTGTTCTTGAGGTACCGCTTCAGCCATACTGGCTGGATGGCTATCGAAGCCCTCCGATGACATTGCACGTTCCCAAACAAACCTGGCCGGCCGACTTGAGCAATTACTTCGATAACATCAACAAGGAGGAATCACCAAAAGCTGTTTGTGCTCAGATATGCTATGAAGTCAATACCGAGACTTTTCTGATGGAAGACTGGGCCGTTGAAAAGATGAGCAGGCTCCAAAAAGAGTCGTTAGGCAACGACTGGTGGGACTTCTCGACGCGCTTCCACGACATCCCGGCTTCAGAACGCACTGATCTGCTGAGATGGTTTCCAGCTCTTCAGAAGCGATTGGGCAAAGGGATTTTTGAGGGCGAATACGCAAAGGTCGTCGAAGCTATGGCCAGATCACGAGCGGGAAAAATCATTATCAATGCGCCTGAAGGACCAACCAGGTCAAACTTTGCCTTGTCAGTTGCTCAAGCGGTCATGTCAGAAGCTCCCGATCCCCCAGCCGCTGTGTCATCTAGGCTGGATGTAGGGGACAGTCGACACGTACAGTACTCTTCGTGGGAGCTGGAGAATGAAAGAAGCACGTACAACCAATTTCAGATGGCTATGTGGAATAACATGTCAGCAGAAGAAAAAGACTTGAGCCGCAAGAAGAAGGATGAGTTTGTACCTGTTAACGGGCGAGTGGCTTGGATTGCACCTCAAGACAAACAGGTCGACGAGGCTGTCCAGCGATTGGTTGCCATGAATCCAGGCAAAATCATCCTCAGACTGTACTCCTACAACGCCGAAATAAATAACTTGTTGCAAGCAGGGACCGAGTCAGCAGTCGCCGTCGTTGCCAGCGGAAGGACTACTGCTGAAACCCAGATTATCGAGGCGTACAACAGCTGCCTGCTCGAAAAAGACAAGAAGCGCAACCCAGCCTCGAACAAGCACTCCTGGTCCGAACAATGTCTAAGCAGAGGGCTTTTCAACAAGCCAGAATCTTGGCCAGAGATGAGCGCTGCGGAACGCAGCATATATTGGGAGAATGCCGAGGATGCGCTCAGTTACCTGCTAGAACGAGCCGATGCCATTTGCGCTACGCCTTCTGCCTTTCGATCAATAGACAGGCGTGTGGGAAGCAGCGAATGGGGGCCGTCCTTTATCATCGTGGACAACGTCAATCAGCTCACGGAACCCTTGTCTCTGCTACCTGTCGCTATGTTTCCAGACGTTCCGACAATGTTTATAGGCGACCTTGAACAAGATGACCCGGTGGTCATGGCCCCAGAGAACTTGAGAACATCAACGGCAGCCAAGCGGCGCACCAGAAGCCTTCTCCAAAGGGTAGAGGATGCCGGATATTTGGACCATCAACTCTTCCCCGGTCGATAGTCCCGGTGCTTCGTCTCTTTCTTTTAGTGCGTTTCGGGTTTCTTTTCTCTCTGATATTTGTGCGGTATTGTACGTTTCGCCTGCAAGGGGACAAGGCATATCTTGTACGACATTGAGTGTTAGCCATAGGTACCTACCTACTTAGGCACCGCTGCGGTATTAGGCAGTAACTGTACAGAGTAACGACTGAATGCAAATCACATTGATCTGACACCGTAGACTCAGTGTATTTTAGTCATAGAGATAGCCAAACAGTTGACAGAATGTGATACTGTAAATGAATGAGGTCAAGTGAGCACACAACATGAACCTGTTGCCCCCCTCCCGCAAATGGTGGAGTAGAAGCCGGGAACTTTATAGGTACCTTAGGTATGTTTATGCGCACACACGCGCACACACGCTAAATCTGGTGGCAGTGGTTAAGCTTATCCACTCTCGCTCTTATCTTATCGATTGGCATTGCCGGTACCAAAATTTCTTCGATATCTTCCGCCAGAGACGGAAATCAACCCCCCCATACAGATCGCTTCCACTGCCATTTCCACCAGCCGCAAAAATGGTAAAAAGAAAGGTTGCGGCGCTCGAGAAGATCGATGCAGACTTGTATGTTGTTATTTATGAAATGCGCCTTTGCAATTTGTCTTTTCGCTAACAATTATCACAGCGCGAGTCTTCAGTACAAAATCCGTCGGGATCCAAAGTAAGCCTTCTCTCTCGCCTGGATGCCAATTCATCTGCCGTCTTCCAGCAAGGACTGCCGCTCACCAATCGTTTGTTACCCAATAGATCCTACAAGGACGACTTCCTGAAGCAGTGGGAGCAGTATGAAGCCCAGCGCGAAATCTTCTTCACATCGCCGACGACGGCCGCGGCCGACACGGTGGAGTCCTTCCACAACATGATCGACCTCATCGCGCACGTCGCCGACTGCTACCCGGACGAGACGCGGACGTTCCCGGACGACCTCAAGGCCATCGTGTCGCAGAACCACGAGACGCTGCACCCGGAGCTGCGGGACAAGGTCGTGGGCAGCCTGGTGCTGCTGCGGCGCAAGGAGGTCATCGACTCGACCAGCCTGCTGACGACGCTGTTCCCCATCCTCGTGTCCTCGCGCAGCAAGTCCATGCGCGAGATGCTCTTCCAGAAGATCCTCAGCGACATGCGCAACTCCAACTCAAAGTCCACCAACCACCCGCTCAACAGGACGATCCAGGCCGTGCTGTACAACCTCGTCACGGCGGACCGCGCTTCGCCGAGGGCCATCTGGGCCATCAAGCTGACGCGCGAGCTGTGGAAGCGACAGGTGTGGACGGATGCGAAGCCGGTCGACGTCATGAAGGAGGCTTGTCTGGCCGACAACGAAAAGGTCATTGTCGGAGCCACGCGGTTCTTCCTGGGCGGCGACAAGGAGCGCGAGGAGCTCGAGGACGAGAGCAGCGACGAGGAGATTGACCTGGCCAAGGTGAAGCACCAGATCACCATCAACAAGAAGTCGAGGAAACAGAAGGAGGCATACAGAAAGGCAGTCGACAAGGTCAAGAAGCAGGAGAAGAAAAAGTCAAAACCTCACCCGCTCAACTTTTCGGCCCTACACTTGCTACACGATCCTCAAGAGTTTGCCGAACAGCTGTTTACGAAGCACCTGCAGGGGACGAAGAACAAGCTTTCGCTAGATACAAAGCTGCTGGTCTTGCAGCTCGTCACCCGATTAGTCGGCCTACACAAGCTGACGATTGTGCCGCTGTACTCGTGGTTCATCAAATACCTCACACCCAAGCAGCAGTCCGTCACGTCCATCCTCGCGTCACTGGCGCAGGGCGTGCACAACCTGGTGCCCCCTGATGCCCTGGAGCCCCTGATCCAAAAGATTGCCAACGAGTTCGTCTCCGAGGCGTCGGCCTCCGAAGTTGCCGCCGTGGGCCTCAACGCCATCCGCGAGATATGCGCTCGCCAGTCGCTGGCCATGACGGAAACGCTGCTGCAGGACCTGGTCCAGTACCGCAAGAGCAAAGACAAGGGCGTCATGATGGCCGCAAAGGGCCTCTTGTCCCTCTACCGCGAAGTCGGCGCCGAGATGCTCAAGAAGAGAGACCGCGGCAAAGACGCCACCATGGGCCTGAGCTCCGGCCTCATGAAGCAGCGCAAGTTTGGCGAGGAGGAAATCGGCGGCATCGAGGGCCTCGACCTCCTCGCCAAGTGGAAGGAAGAGCAGAGGGAGAGGAAGCGCGCCGAGAAGGGCAGCGATGCCTCTGACAACGAGAAGGATGCAGATGAGGACGGATACAAGTCCGACGAGTGGGAGGTTGATTCAGACGACAGCAGCGACTCAGGGGAATGGATCAACGTCGAGCATTCCTCGGATGAGGACGAACCTGCGCCCAAGAAGCGCAAGGGAGAAAACGACGACGAGGACGACGACGAGAAAGACAACGCAGAAGACGAAGCCGCCGAGCTCGCACGCATGACCAAGCTCGCCACCACCACCATCCTCACGCCCGCCGACCTCGCCAAGCTGCAAGAACTCCGCGCCGCCGCCTCGGTCCAAAAGGCAATGGGCGCGCGCGCCCGCAAGCGCCAGGCCGACGCCGACAAGCACAACAACGGCGCGACGCACCAGGACGACGGCCTGACGGCGGAGAACATCGAGGCGCCGATCCGCCTGCGCAAGCTCACAAAGGAGGAAAAGGTGGCGCTGGCCAAGGAGGGCAAGCCGGACCGCGACGAGCACAAGAGCACGCAGGCGATCCGCAAGTCCAAGAAGGACGCCGCGGGCAAGAGCACGAGCAACCGGGAGAAGCAGCGCAAGAAGAACTTCTTGATGACGCTGGGCAAGGCCAAGAGCAAGCAGAAGAGGAGCCTGGTCGAGACGAGGAAGGTGTTGAGGGGGCATGTGGAGAGGAGTACGAGGGGTGGGCGGAGGAGGAACGGTACATAGACAGGGCTTTGTTTTGGGTGTGTCTTAGTGTGGTATATACCTATATATGTTCTTCTATCGGGCTGGTTTTTCTCAAAGATGCTTGTGAGGAGAGAGCTGAGTATTGCCTATTGGTTATGGAAGGAAGAAAAGCGAACTGTTGCAAATCATACAATTGGGAGAGCATCATGATATGCAAGAGATAGACAAATCCTGATACATGGAGCAAATAAGGAGTACGATATGAAGCGTCAGGTTCAAGTATAGTTGCCATGTAATCATTATGTGTATTGTATGACCACCCCCCTTGGGACATAAAGCAGGTGACAATACTGGTATCCAAAGAAAGCTCATCAATCCTATTCAGGACAAAAATCAAACAACCACATCATTCCGCATAACCCTTCTCCAAATCTACTGAACTGTAGTAACCATGGGCTTCTCGTTGTCAATCTTCTCCGCAATCTCCTCATCGTGAGAGTGACCCTGTAGGCCAATGTCCGTCTCGTTAAAGGCATCCACAACGTCCCGATACGCAGGGACAAAGTTGACGCAGAAAGCATATGTCCATGCCACGAGGAAGAAAGACAGGGGCACGACCATGCTGATGCCGCTGCCCTGATTCTCCGCAGCCACAAAGGTCAAGGGGGGCACACAAGCACCGCCGACGACACCACCGACGATGAAGCCGCTGCCACGCTTGGTGTGTCTGCCGAGTCCACGCATACCGAGGGCAACAATGGTGGGGAAGCAGACGGACTCGAAGAAGAGGACGACGTAGAGCATGGCAACGCCGGTGTTGTTCCCCTGGGTGGTGGCCGGGCAGATGAAGATGATGGCCATGCTGATGAAGACGAGGAAGATCCATCGAGGCTTTACGAAGCGCATGATGCCACTTCCCGTGAAACGGCCAATGGCAAAGGCAGCTTGGGCACCGGCAAACAGCTTGGAGCCAAGGCTGCTCGACGTGCCGGGTCGAGTCGCCACGGCGTAGTTGATGAAGGAACTGGCAATGGCAACCTGGGCGCCGGTGTAGCAGAACTGGGCGAGTGCGGCATGGAAGAGCCGGTATTGCTTCCAGAGGGGTTTATCGTCTGAGCTACCGTAGGCCTCTTGGGCCTGAAATGCCATATCTACGAGTGACCAGCGCGTTAGACAAAGATGAATTACTAGTTTAAGGATGAACAGGGGACTCCTTACCAGCATTGGTGATCTCAGGGATCTTGGCCAGGAAGAACAAGGACGCCAGCAGGAGAACGAAGACGACAATAGCCAAGTAAACCCATTGCACGTTCTGTAGAGCACGCTCGTCGCTGAAGTTGAAGAAGACATATGAGCCGAGAACAGGGGCAATGACGGTGCCAATGCCGTTGAAAGCCTGGGAAATGTTGATTCGAATCTCAGAGTACTTTGGCGGGCCGCAAACTGGGGTAGAGGCACACCATGTCAGTGGGCGGCCTTCAACAATAAGTGAGCTGGGCGATGGCACGTTCACATACCGGTGATGAAGGGGTTGGCGGCAGTCTCCAGAGAGCCAAGGCCGTTGCCGATGATAAAGATGGAAGCGCAGAAGCCGCCAAAGGACTTGGCCTTGATGCAAGGAATGGCGATGGCAGCGCCTACCGCGTACAGGAAGAGACCCCAGATGAAGACGGCTCTGTATCCATAGTGGCGGAGAATCCAGGCTGCGTGACCGAGGGAGGCCAGTGGATATGCGCTGGAGAATCTCGCTGTTAGCTCATGTTATACAGTTGCTTGGCCAGGGCCCGGCGCGGCGAGATGGGACAAGTGTGATTGGGCGCGTAGTTCTGTGTCTTTGGATGCATTCGCGCGTTGAGATGGCAAAACTCACCCAAAGTAAGCGGCCTGCAGACCAGAAGAACGCGCCTGGTCGATGTGGAGCGTGTTCTGAAAGTGCTTGTTCAGCGTGTCGAGCAAGCCGTAACTGAAGCCCCAGAGGAAGAAGAGGACGGTGACGAGTGCGAGGGGAAAGATGGACTCTCTCAACGTGAGCTCAGCAGCTCTTGTGCGGCTCTTGTCGTTGGCCTTGAGCGACCGCTCCCTGAAGAAGGACGCAACACCCATGATGGCAAGTCTCGATCTGAAGGACCCTACCAAGAGGGAGAGAGAAAGCGCGGAGAGAAAAGAAGATGAAGGAGTTTCTGAGATGCTCTCTCACAGAGTCGCACTTTTCGCGATGGGAATGCGACCCTTTTGACTGACTTGGGATGGCCAGCCCCTCCCAACCATCACCAGCCAGGGTTCACTTGGACTCGCAAAGAGGAATTTCCTGGACGGCCTGCGTCGTATTGCAGCGATTGCTTCTCCCAGGCAAAATGTGGACATGATCATCCGGGCCATTACCGGCCTCATACCCCTTGTTGGTACTAGCCCAGCCGCAGTGCAAAATCCCGTCGGCAAAATGGCTGGCTGCTGAAGAGGACATGGAAGCCCGCCGTTGACTGTCCCTTTGGGTGTGGCGTTGAGACTCCTCTCACGTGGCTGTTTAATTACCCCGTGGGCCATGGAATAGAACAAAGAGTGCTTCCTTGTGGCGTCGCCCGGTTCCCAGGCCACCATGCCCAGCAAGAAGCTCCGCGACAATTGCGGTCGAATCTCGTCCGAGCTCCTCACTGCCTCGCCGTCGATAGCAAGCTGCACGCGAATGCGACCCGCAGCCCGCCTTTAGCGACTCTGGAGAAAAGACGGGGCTCGTTGCGGAGATGTCTGAGCTTGCTGGGGTTGGAGGAGGCGGGGAAACCACCACGGCTGGCCATTGGCCTGGGGCGAGGCCTGGCGCCCATGGGGATGCTGGGTCTCGAGTCAATGCTGCCCCGAAATCCTGGAAATTGCGCGTCGACTGGGCCTGGCGCACGACGAAGATGGGCCGATGACGCTTGTTGTGCTTGTTGGTCCACGGTCTGCACCCTCTCCAGGAACCCTTCGGACATCACCAACCTTCGTCACCGTCGCTCGAGGCCACCCGAAAGACCGACCTGGCGCTGTCTTGATCGATAATTCGATGCGGGGGAGCACGTTATTGCATCGTCACGCTCTGATCTGCTGGCGCTAGAAGCATTGGAACTTTCCACCGTGAGCACGACCCAAGGACCTGTTCCCCTCAAGGCTCGTGGGGAAGGCGAAGGCCGCCTCCGAATGGGCTGCGTCTCCCACTCCCATCTCAAATCCTCGTATTGGTGGCGTCCGGTAGCCGCAGTTGGCTGCCCATGGCGCTTACTTTTCCCCGATATCCTCGCGGGGGGCTGTAGCGGCAGATTGGCTAGGCAGCACATGCCGGTTAAGCATAGCGGCGTGCGGAGAAGTTAGCAGAGTAACCATATCTTGACTCTGTCCGTTTGAAGAGTCACAGAGTCGAAAGAGCAGCATAATGCGGCGACGTGCAAGAGGCTCACGATATGTATCTTGATAAGCGAAAACGAGAGCTGTCGATGCCTGAGGTCAGAAGAGGTGGTACTTTCTCAATCCGCCAGTGACTCATCACGTGAAACCACCTCTCCTCGATCAGGTACATCCCTAGTATTTCCTTTGTGCCTGAGGAATCCAAATAACCCTTGCAGGTACTACTAGGTATGCACGAGTAAGGCATGTCTGCAATCTATATGCCGTCTTCTCCTCTCTACTATTTCTTTGCCAGAGGTCTGTTGGTTAGTAGTAGCCTTTCGGCTATTTAATTAGTGGCCGAACTCACCTTCTCTGCTCCATCCACCGACGAAAGCTCCCGTCGGGAAGAAACCGGCGGCTTCAAGCTTCTATTCCCCAGAATCTCCAACTCCAGCTCCAGCTATTCCCAGCCCCAGGAGTCCACGATTCCGGGGCCCCGGATTTCTGGATAAATGGGTGCCTTAAACTGCCTGTGCAGTGGCATTTGGGGTTGAACATTCAAGCGCTGAGATGTCAGTGGCTGGATCTCCTCTCCAACGTGATCGACACGCGGTGGTCGACCATTGAAAGCGACCGTGTCACATGTGCGAAGAGGACCGCACCCAAAATTCCCCAACCATGCCCGAAAGGAGAATATGCTTCGGCTTACCTACATATTGTGATCTGATATAGCATCTTCTACCGCCGTTCTGGACTCCAGGGATGGGTTGCTCTGCGTACAGCTGAACGGCATACAGAACGAGGCGCAAACGCTAGATGCCATCTCGAGATCGGATGATTGGATCGCGTGGCTACTTGTTGCTGCCATCACGCCCATTCTCCCGTCGGCTATCTCATATCGACACTCTTTGCTGGGCAGTGTAGTGTGCCTGTTAGCCATTATCTCATCATATTGATGGCTGCGAGATACTGTCGTATATTGTCTTTTGACCCTCGAATTCGGTCTCATCCTCTTGGTCGACTTCTCAACAAAATGAAGTCTGAATTCCAAATTTTAGGCTGGCTTCGTTGAACCAGCGGTGACATATTGCAAAGCTAACATAGGATGATCTTGTCGCCTGATTACCCATCGTCTCGGAACACTACCCATGACCAAGCGCTATCTAAACTCTCCACGCTTCCCCTTCGGCTCTTTTTGAGAGACTTGAGAGACTCAACAAACGATTTCACGACTATAGGCAATACTTACCTCTGCTAGTTAAGATAGACTGCGAAACAGCGCGATGGGTTGATATAGAGTTACAACTTGATGGCAGACTTGCAAACTATGAACTCGTTCGATAGCCGCTCGCTGAAGCTTACGGACGTTTTGTTTGCCGCACATGAAGGTTCCACGGACATTTTTGATTTTCTGCAAAAACGCCACTGCTTCGCAAGATGCAGGCGAAGGACGCGTGTCTCATCTTTAGCTTGCCCGATTTGACTTTGCTCTCGAATTGCAGCATCGACTTAACCGCCTGCACGAAGATGGATGTTGATGAGGACACACCTTTTCGGAGAGTTGCATCCTCATCAAGCGTACTCCTTTCTATTAGGCTGCTGATGTTCTCTATTACGAGTTTGAACAGAGCCCCTTAAATAGACATGACGTGATAAGGCATTATGACCTATTCTTCGCCAGCTCCTGAAGCAGGCTGATGATTGACGCGGGCATCTTGATATCAGACTTTTAGTGACTCTTCAGGCACCGAAACTTTACTACCAACAGCTTATCAGGTGTGAATGGGTATAATCATAAGCACACGTATTAACAACTCAAGGTGCTGGAACAGAAAGACTTTGAACTTTCGTCACTTGAATTACCACTCAAATGCTCGAACGACCAGTCAACGATAGAGAAGCCGATGAATATGAGAACACCGTCGCTTCATATTTCCATCAAAGGGCATCATTGACATTCAAACAGAAATAAGGCCAATGAGACCGGTGAAGAACAAATCGAAGCTCTTTTTGATGTTTGTATACAGGGTAAAATAGAGCATCAAAAAGCATCACTTCTTATGTATGTCAGGTGTCTCAACATGACCCCACATCGGTGAGTCGGCAGATGCCATGGTGGGGCATTGGTGTACGCGGGGCTCACCGAGATCAAGTCCGGCGCTTCAATTATTTTTTTTCTGCCTCCAGCAAAATCGGCAACATTTGATGCTTCGCCATCACCGCTGCCAAAATGTCCAGAAATACGGTGCAGCCCAATGGATGGGTTGCCATCAGGCTGCCGAGCGAAGTCACGCGTGTTCTTCAAGTCATTCCCAACACGTCAGTCTATCTTTTCTCTTTCCCTCTTGTTTCTCGATTCTCCGCGTTGATCCTTCAGAAATGGCTGTGCGACTGACAACATCTGCAGAACCATATCTCTGGGCAAATATGGCTCGTTCCCGAGTAACCTCATAATCGAACGGCCTTACCACCTCACATACGAGATCCAGGACAAGCTCGAAGGCGAAAGCTTCCCGAGACTGCGAATCGTTCCCGGCACGGAACTCAATGCCGACAAGCTCGCCGACGTGAGCGCCGAGTCCGAGTCCGCCGAGGGAGACGAGGTCATCGAGCCGGCGAATGGAGAGCAGCTTACGCTCATCGATGAGGAGAGCGGCAAGGTGGTCGCACGGTCGAACCGCGAAGTCATTGACGAATCGGCGCGCCAGACGCTCACCATGGCCGAGATTGACCAGCTGAAGAAGGAGGGTGCCTCGGCGGGCAAGGAACTCATCGCCAAGCTCATGCTCTCCCATACGGCGATTGACCAGAAGACGGCCTATTCGCTGGCCAAGTACAAGCTGTTGAAGGAGAGGAAGTACATGCGGCGGTTCACGGTGCTGCCGCTGGATGTGGCGCAGCTCGGGCAGTGGATGCTGGTGGAGAGAGACGCGAGCAAAATCATGGAGATGCGGCAGGAAATGATTGGACTGCTGGGGTGCTGGGCTGATGTACATTTCGGTGGCCTGCCCATTGAGGGTGCTCAGCATCCGCATGGCGGGCGATGGCTGGCCGTTGACGATACAGGAGGTCTGTTGGTGGCGGCCATGGCCGAGAGAATGGGATTGTTGCACGCAGAAGCTCCCGAGGAAGAGGGGACGTCAAAAGATGCACCCCAGCAGGAGCAGAACCCAGAAGTGCAACCTGACGGCGAGGAAGCGGCCACAGCGTCAGCAGAGCCAGTTTCGACGAGGACGCAGCGGAACAGACCCAAGCGGCCTCGAAAAGACGACCTGGACGACCATTACGCCCTCACAAACAGCATCACCCTCATCCACGCCAACTCACAGCCCAACCTCTCCCTCCTCCGCCACTTTGACTACGACTTCAGCGACCCCAACCCTCCGTACCCCTACCACCCGCTCTTCACCCACCTGCTACCCATCTCGTGGCTCCAGCTGCTGGATCCCGAGGCAGACCCTACATACGCAGAGCTGGCACCGGCAGTCGACCCCGAAGTGCTCGCCTCCTGGAAGACCAACCGCCGCGCAAACTACCACCGCAAACGCCGGCGATGGGCGCGCACGCGCCAAATCGTCGATGCCACGCGGGCGGGCGGCTTCTCCGGCCTCGCGGTGGCGAGCACCATGGACCCCATCTCGGTGCTGCGCCACGCGCTCCCGCTGCTCGCCGGCGGCGCGCCCGTGGCCATCTACTCGCCGACCATTGAGCCGCTGTCGCAGCTGGCGGACTGCTTCAGCATCAGCCGCCGCGGCGCCTGGGTGTCCAACCCGCCGCCCGAGGCGGAGGGCAAGTCGCTGAAGGAGCTGGAGAGCTGGCCCGGGACGCCGGACTTCCCGATCAACCCGTCGCTGCTGATTGGCGCGCAGGTGCAGACGAGCCGGGCGAGGAGGTGGCAGGTGTTGCCTGGGCGGACGCATCCGTTCATGACGGAGAGGGGCGGGGCGAGCGGCTATGTGTTTACGGGGTGGAGGGCGATTCCTGCGGAGGGCAATATCATGGCCCGGGGCAAGTTTCAGAGGAAGAAGCCCAAGACTGAGTGATGGGTTGGATCATGTGTTTTCACTGGTTGTATAATGCTGGGTGCAATATATAGAAAGGCTGATCGCAGGCCGTGTATGACGATGTATAATCTGAATAGAACGTAGGAATACCCTTGGGGAGTTGCTGCATATGAGGCCCCTTTGACGAAGTCGGTTTTACGATTGATCACGCTGCGGAAAAGAGAATATCATTGTCGTCTATATGTCACCTCGTCACGCCCTGCTCGCAACTCTTTACAAGGACTTGCCCATAAACTTTCTCTTCGCGAAGCTCAGCCACCACTTGCTCGGCTTGGACTCGTCCTCCTCGTACACTCTAGCCAGTAACCGGTTGGCGAGCTCCTGTCGGACCTGTGCCATGTACAGCTTGAGCTGCTCTGCCTCCTGCCTGTCTTTAGGGGGTTCGTACATCTAACAAAACACGTCAGCCCATCTACCATCCCAGGACGTAGAAACGAAAGTAAGGGCAAGGGAAAAAAACAAACCTGGTTCAAGGGAAAACCAGGGTCGCCGGGAATCGCAAAGTTGAGGTCCAGCGCCAGGTTGTTGACCTCCTTGCTGGCCTCGCGCAGGCTGGCATTGGGCTTGATGCGCTGCAGGCAGTCGCTGACGAACCAGATGCCATACACGAGCAGGCGGTCGGCGGGGCCCTTGATCTCAAAGTTGCGGAAGAAGGTGTTTGCGCGGAAGAGGCGGAGGACCTCGTCGAGGATGTCGTAGCTCTCGCTCTCGATCTCGGGCGACTCGTGGGCGGGCAGCGGCGGGTTCGGGAAGGGCAGGACGTAGGCCGGGCCGCGGGTCTTGGTGCGCAGGGGGAGGAGGGGGAAGTTGCCGATGAGGCGGGGAGGGTTGGGGTCCGAGTTGAAGTCGGAGTTGTAGGCCTTGAAGTTGCAGAATCTGTTAGCGATGTTGAGGCTGGTGGAGGGAGAGAGAGAATAGTCGGGATGCATGGGGGATTGAGGTCGGGCAGTGTCGTGGGAGAAGCTTCAGGAGAGCTTCAGGCGGGCCGGGCGATGACATTCCCCCGTACGAAGCCCGGAGATCGGGCCCTGGGGAGCTTCTGTAGTGTCGAGCAGCAGGGCAAAAGTGGCACGTACCGGCATCTTGAACAGCAATGGCTCGAGTGCCGCGATTGAGTGCGTAGGAAGCAGAGCAGCGAGGTGATGGTTGGCGGGGCTCCTCCTAGCAGGCCGAAGCTGTCGTCAACTGGCGGCCAGCTGTGGAGCCTTTTTTTGGGAACGCTGAACCTAGACAAGGAGACGCAGCAATTCATCAACCCCGTGATTATGTCACCTCAGCGCTGCTTTGCCACAGCCAGGCAGCACAAGCCACAAGCACACCCTCCCCGCACCGCCACGGCGCATCCGGCTGCCTAGATCACGTGAATTCGCTCACCGGTCGCGCCGCCTGCCTGCCCGAAAGGACGCGCCTCTGCTGACTCTCGGGCCTGCGATTGGGGGAGCAACAGCGTTAAAAGCAGATGCAGGCGCCGGCTTTGTTTGCTGGCGGCCCAACAAACAACCTCGGAAGAAGCATTCATCTCTGCATTCATTCATCCGCGCGTTTGCTGGGTGAAAGAAAGGAAACAAGAGAAGGAAACGGGATTTTCTTTGTGCCAGCGGCTTGTCTCACGTCTTACTGGATCCGGATCCCATCGTGCAAAAGAAAGCCTGTGTGCAGTCCTCCTTCTCACACACTCTCTCTGTCTCCCTCGTTCACATATTCCTCATTTTTCGCCCTTATTTATCGCCCTCGTCTGTTCGCGGCTTCACGCACGCTCTCGCTCTCAATCACCCCGGCTGGACTTTTCCCTCGCTCGCTCCGTCTCCAAATTTCTCCTCATTTTGCCTTTGGTGGCTTTTGTCCAAGGAAACCGCCTGCAAATTTACTGAGAGGAGAGAAACGAGAGAATAGGAATTAAGCAGGGAATAACAAAGGTAGGCGTGCAGCAGCGCATCTCTCGCTCCCGCTCATATACTTTTTTTTCTCTTGTCGCTGGTCGCGTCACCGCGGGGCGCTTCGTTACAACCACTCAGAGAAGCGGGCGCACAACGAAATTGCGATTCACGGCACCGCGGCGCTGAGAATCCGTCCGGTCCATCTCAGCAACCCGCGTCATGGCCTTGTATGCCAGAAACATGCCACTCTCCACGCAGATTGTCTGCTAACGCCTCTTTGCAGCTCCATGTTCGGCCAGGGCTCCTTCGTCGCCAAGCTGCGCGGGCTGGTTGACGACATGACCTCATCACCAAGAAGCCCCTCCAAGTCGCCCTCGTCCAGCCCCGACGACGACGGCGACAAGGTGGTCGAGACGCCTGACATCACGCCGCCGACAACGCAGAGGCCTAGGAAAGTAAAGTCCCCGCCGTCGCAGCCTCGCCCGCCGCTCCCGCCTCGCCCTCGCATCCGCCGCCCCAAGAAGGGCTCCCTCCGCGACATCCTCCGCCAGCACGCCGGCACTGCGCTCTTTATGCGCCCCATCTGCTGGACAGATCTACATGCCAGCCTGCTCGGGGCGCGCTTCTGCGAGCTGCCCCCTTGCGACACGCCGCAGCCTTGCGACCTGCCGGGGCCCACGCCGTCGCAGGGCCATATCCAGCCGTCAGACACGATCACCAGGCTGAGCGAGGCCCTGACAGAGATCCTGACGCCCCTTGGGCCGGTAGCAAAGCCGACTTCCACAGCCGTCAAGGCCGTGCTGTCGACGCTGTGGCCAGCGGCGTTTGCAAAATCGCAAACGACGCCGGAACTGAACCTGTACTATGGCGATAGGGTCTACTTCGACGCCGTTCGTGCCCAGGCGCTGTGGAACTTTCCCCCAAATCCGCCCACCTTGTCATCACAGAGCTCTACCGCGACGATAATAGCCCGCCCTTGCGAGTCTTATGGCTCCCTGGCATCAACTACCGCAGCTCACTCCACTGCAAACCTACCGATGCTGTGTTATATTGGAAAGCAGCAGCTGGCGATGATACGCCAACACCTCTTTCGCGTTGGCACTGGGCCTGATGCGAAGCCCAATATCCCTGTGATGCGACTGCAGCGGCTTCGGGCGAAGCAACTTGTCCCCGCAGACTCTGATGAAGATGCGCATTTCGTCGGCATCTTCCTCGCCATGGCCCAGCGCCATTTCTACACAACGCCGGTTAAGATTCCGCGAGAGGGGTATTGGCCGCCGCGAGAGAGTCGTTGGTCGCCACGGGAGGGCAAGCCCACGAGGCCCAATTTCCAGGATGTCAAGCTGCGGATCTTGACTCACGACAATGACACTTGCGAGTTTCTGGTCTATACGGGGTACGTAACGGCCAAGTTTCTCGACCGGTTCTACGACCCGTCCTGCGCTCCGTTGGACGAAGACGGCAACGTGGAAGGAATGAAGATTGAGTTTACGCGCGTGCCCATCTGGCCCATTCTGGGATTGCGGGAACGACTTGGCAAGGCCCTGGGAGAGGACATTGTGGGCCCGTTTGACCCGAGCAAGATGGAGACGTGGGAGTTTGACGGCCCGAGGCCCGAGCCGAGATCACAGGACTCGGATGCCACAGTGGCTACCGTCGTAACTTCTAAGCGCAAGCGTGGCAGCTCTCCCTCCACATCGGGCGAAAGCTCAGAGGAAGAGTCAGACGGAGACGAGTCCGCCTTGCCCGACAAGCGAAGATGCTTGAGCGAAGAGAGCCGGGTTAGCGTTGTGGTATAGGAAAAGAAGGCAAAAACAAATCAAAGGAAACTCTTACAATTGGCGAGCGGTGACGTTGCCTTTGGGCGTTCAAGGGACGATGTTATGAAGATGCATGATTCAACGGAAGGCTTAGACGGAAGGGGCTTCACATCAAGACGGACCGGCGCAGGTTCGAACCAGGTCCTTAGGTCGGGCGGGCGGTGTCTCGTTAGGGATCTCTTTGGTATCCCTTGGTTTTGTTCATGGTTGCTCGGTAATGCTCCGAGGCCTCAGTTGTGGCTTGGGATTCGACTGGAGACACATTCGGGCTCCTCTATTTTCCCCATCGCGGGTCGTATCCGTATACTCCGTAATGACAGCGAAATGAATGCGATTATTCCCATTTCTGACTCTATCTTGTTGATTTGCTAGATGCTCGCTGGTGTCGCTGATGAAGAGTAGGCTTGAGTGTCCCTGGAGAAGGATCTTATTCAACTGCACTCCCGAAGCAAGTGACCAGCTGAGCCTTTCGCTCAGCCAGCCTCTTCAGAAGGAACAGTGCTCCCTCTTGGCACGATAATAGTATCACTACTAGTAGCATTTTATTTTTTTCCCCTGGTAGATTGACGGTGACACGATGCATGCAGATGCGCCAAGTTTGCGTGACGGCGGCTCTCGTCGAGCTGGGACTTGGCATCAGATGATTTCTGCATGCAGCAGCTCTGAGATTGCGTTGTTGCACGGCATGATTATTGCAGTATTGGAGAGAAGAGATTTCATTTTGTAATTCCATGTGATTTGTCTTTGTTGCTTGTGATTTCTCGTCGTGGAGAGACTGTCCATTATCAGAATTAATTTGAGATATTCTGCGTGTAAGGCAGAGACAGTACAAGTACTCGAGAACATGTGACCTAATTCAAAGTGAGCAGTCTAGTAGCCAGATCCAGACTCTTCCTCGCGTATGTGTTTCTGCCTTTGTCCCTGAAACTTTACATCAACATCATCAGCAACCACAACGCCAAGTTTCACATACACATTGAATATTTGGAGACAACATACAATGGAAGCACAAGAAACTACGCGGCTGCAGCTTGCATCACGGCCATTGATTGGCGCCCGTGGCTTGCCGCCACGCATCTGCACATCCACAACCTACCTCGTACTCTACCAATGACAGGCCATCAAGCACGTCAAGGAAACCCCCAGCCTCAACTCTGCCAAGGGCATCCAAGAACCAAGATCAGTAAGTAATACTACTGCTACTATGTATCGCGAAGCACCTTTCGACTCTTCCCCATCTTTCCATCTCCGTGCCTGAGCTGACCTCCCACACAGCCCACTAGTTAGTTGAGCCCACCCCCCCGGAAAAGGATTGACCTCGGCTCGCAACCCTCTTGAAGCTGCTTCTTTGGTGTCTTTTGGCTGCCTTCAGAACTCGCTTCACATGTGCTTTGAGGAGAAGCTCACGACATTTGACAGCTCAGCTCGGGAACCAACGGCTCCCATGACCTACTACAACCCCTGTCAACGTTACAAGCATGATCATCACCCCGCATTCTCTCTTATCCCCCACACGGGGAAATATGACAACACGATCCTGGAGCCATCTTCGCTCATCTAGGCAGCTCACAAAGATGTGGTTACTCTTCTCCCGAAAGTGCGGGGTGAAGTGCAAAAAGCTCACGGAAGCTGCAACAAGGCCGAAGCGGCGACGACTTTGAAGTCAATGCCCATTGCTGTTCTCGATAAAGGAGCTCCACCAGAGGAAATAGGCACGAGACCACACGCAGAAAGAGTGCGGCAATGGAAGGAGAAGAAGGCCCGGTTTGGGGGGGAGAGATGCTCCCCGTTGTTGATGTCTTGAAGGGCAGATATGCAGTGTAGCCCTCCCTTTTACACACTCCCGGCTTGGGGCTTGGCAATAGTTGGGTTGTCCTCCCCACCCCCTTTTCTCGTGTGTCTCGGCGACCGCTTCTTATTTCGGATTGTCATGGCCTCTATGCATGGCCTTGTCTCTCCTCAGCAACAACGAGCTGGGTGCTTTTCGGGTTTCAGCTGGGACAACGCAGGTCCATATTCGCCAAGTCGTTTCTTCGTCCGGAGGCTGCTGCTGGAGGGGTGGGGATCGTCTATGCGCTCGTGCGCAGACTATCCGTGAAGTAGAAGGGAAGGCCGATGCTAAGAAGTTGTGTGAAGGGCTTTTCCGAGTATGCTGGATTGCTTGGCTGCTGTGAACTACTACCCAGCTCTCACGATCCCCCGGGGGGCAGAGTTGTGCAGAGTGAGCAGCTCTGACTGCTACGCAACTGGGCTATAAAAGGCTCCCGAGCTCCTTGGATTGTCTGGGGGAGTTTGTCAATCGGAGCCTTATTCTCATCTCTTCAGCATCGTTGAGCCCTTCAACCTGAAGCTGTTCAACATGAAGCTGTCCAACACTCTTCCTGCTCTCTTGGGCTTCTTGTCCTTGGCCGCGGCCGCCCCAACTCCAGGAAAGGTTGAGAATATCGAGGCTCGATCCCCAGTCAGCGTCCAGCTGGCCTCTGGCACCATCGTCGGCAACTCCCTGGCGGGCATCGACACCTTCAATGGGATCCCTTTCGCGGATCCCCCCGTGGGCAACCTGAGGCTTGCGCCTCCCCGGAAGCTGACCAAGAACCTGGGCACTTTCACGACCCCCTTGCTCGCTCCCGCCTGCCCTCAGCTGTTCCTCTCCACGGACTCGTCCAACCTTCTCGTCAAGCTCCTGGGAAGCTTCCTGCAGCTGCCGTTCCTGCAGACCATCACCGGCCAGGAAGACTGCCTGAACATCTCCGTGCAGCGGCCCAAGGGGACCAAGGCGGGCGACAAGCTGCCGGTTGCCTTTTGGATCTACGGCGGAGGCTTCGAGCTCGGCGCCACCCTCACCTACGACGCCTCCAGCCTCCTGTCCGCCGCCGTGGCCCAGGGGCAGCCCTTCATTTACGTGGCCGTCAACTACCGCGTCGCCGGCTTCGGGTTCCTCGGCGGCGCCGAGATCCTCCGCAACGGCAGCGCGAACCTGGGGCTCCTGGACCAGCGCATGGGGCTCCAGTGGGTGGCGGACAACATCGCGGCCTTTGGCGGCGACCCGGACAAGGTGACCATCTGGGGCGAGTCCGCGGGCGCCATGTCCGTCTACGACCAGATGGTGCTCTACGGCGGCAACGCCACGTACAACGGCAAGCCGCTGTTCCGGGGCGCCATCATGAACTCGGGGACGGCCGTGCCCGCCGAGCCCGTCGACTCCCCGAAAGCCCAGGCCGTGTACGACAACGTCGTCAGCAAGGCCGGCTGCAGCGGCGCCGCGGACACCCTCGCCTGCCTCCGCCAGGTGCCCTACAGCAAGTTCCTCGCCGCCGTCAACAACGCGCCGGGCATCTTCTCCTACAGCTCCCTGGGCCTGTCCTACCTGCCGCGGCCGGACGGCGTCGTCCTCCCGGACAGCCCGGACGTGCTCCTGCAGCAGGGCAAGTACCACGCCGTGCCCATGATCGCGGGCGACCAGGAGGACGAGGGCACGCTCTTCTCCATCTTCCAAAGCGACGTGACCAGCACCTCGAGCCTCGTCACCTGGCTCTCCGAGTACATGTTCGCGCAGGCGTCGCGCGCGCAGCTGACGCAGCTCGTCAACACGTACGACCCGGCCCTCGCCAGCGGCAGCCCCTTCCGCACCGGCATCTTCAACGACCTCTACCCGGGCTTCAAGCGCACGGCCGCCGTCCTGGGCGACCTCGCCTTCACGCTGACGCGGCGCCTGGTGCTGTCCGCCGCGGCGCGCCAGAACCCGGCCGTGCCCATCTGGTCGTACCTCTCGTCGTACGACTACGGCACGCCCTTCCTGGGCACCTTCCACGCGTCGGACATATTGCAGGTGTTTTACGGCCTGCTGCCCAACAACGCGATGCGCAGCTCGCGGACGTACATTTTCAACTTCATACAGAACCTGGATCCGAACGTTGGCGTCAAGGGGTATGCGACGTGGCCCAAGTGGACGGAGGACGGCAAGCAGCTCATGTGGTTCGAGACGGGGGATGCGAACAGTTTGCTGACGGACGACTTTCGGGATGACAGCTATCAGTGGATCGCGAACAACTCTGCCGTTTTGAGGGTGTGAAGGAAGGAGTCTTCTTTTTTGGTTCAGTTTTGTGAAAAGGGCGTTTTTTTTGGTTTGGTAGTTTGGGATGAGTTTTCTCCGGAATCAGGATTTTGTGAAGGAACACTGTGTATATGGGGGTATGATTTTGCTTGATGGATCTGGAAAAGGATACCTAGGTAGCAAGGGTGAAAATAACATGAAAAGTTACTTGGAGAAAGCCTGACTGCTGCGTCATCTTGTTCGAGCTCATCGACAACAGAACATCCAGAAGATCACTTCATGCTTACGAGATGGGAATGCGTTTCCGTGATGTAGATCAAACCAGTTGCGGGGACGCATTAATGCAGTCAGATGGTACTATCGGGGCATAAGAAAATGTCCCAATCACACATCTTTCGAAAAAAGGCCGACGGTCATGTTTTGAAAATTTGAAAAGCCGATGATTCCATTTTCAGCCCAACCGTGGACTTTTTACCTCAACAGTTGGATATATATATACACTACCTATACATGGGTCGATATTTCCCACACCAAAACCAAATCTTCACTCAAATCCCTGATACAGCTTCCCCCCCCCACGCTCAAAAGTACCCGTTCGACGACAGCCACTGCTTGAGCGCCTCAGAATCGCGCTTCTTATACGCAGCCCGGCCCCTGATCCTGTCCTTGGCCGTCTCCAGCGTCCGGTCAAAGCTGTGCGTGTCCTTGTCCTTGAAGAACTGCTCAATGTCGTCCAGGACGGCCACGTCGGTAAACGTCTTCAGACTGAGGCCGATGAAGCGGTCGACGACAATGGGGTTGCCGAGCTTGGCGACGACCTGGTCCCAGTTGCTCTTCATAAACTCCCACTGCGCGTTGCGGCCGACCGGGTGCGCGGCCAGGTTGCCACCCAGAACGTGCATGTCGGCGGCCGGGACGGCGTTGTGAGGAGGAGAGGCGTTGAAGTTGAAGGGGACGAGGTTGTTCTTGACGATGTCGGCATCGTCGACGGTGGACAGGGCAGCCAGGGCAATGAGTTTGCCGTCAATGGCCTTGGTGGAGAACCACTCCTTCTTGAGAACCTCGACGTTCTTGGCGGCGTTGTCGTCGAGTCCGGCGCGCCAGACAGCGCCTCGGAGAGACGGGTGGATGGCGTTGGCTTCGGCGTTCTCAACCCAAGCGTTGAATCGCTTGACGGCCTCTGCCTTGACCCTGTTCACTTGGTTAATACTTGATGCCTTCTATGGCACGGAGCAGGGGAAAACTCACTCGGGATGATCAGCGGCAACGGCGGCGGCAATGAGGTCCTTGCGGAGGATGCCTCCCAGGTAGTTCTCGCCCTCGGGGAACTCCCAGCCAACCTGCTTCACCTTTTCGTCCATCAGCTTGACGGCAAAGTTGTTGAGGCCCTTCTTGATCTCCTTGTCCTCGCCAAAGACGGACTTGAGGTCGCCGATGCAGCCCAGGATCTGGCTCCAGACAAGGGGGTGGTCTTCCTTCCGGAAGCCCTGGAGGAAGGTCAGCAGAGCCGAGGCCGAGCTGTTGCCGGCAAAGGCGAGATCCGCCGTCGAGCCGATAATGGCAATCTTGTCCTCGGTGCTGAGCTTGTCGAGCTGGGTGCTCAGCTTGGCCAGGCGGGCCGGGGGATAAGCGACACGGTAGAAGCCCGTGGCGCCGCTGTTGAGCTTGTAGAAGTCGGTGTCGATGTCGGTGATGACATCCTCCTTCTTGACCAGGGACATGGCAGAAACGCCAGGCTCGCCCTTCTTGCCCGCCAGGCCCAGGGGCACCCACCAGGTGGTGGTGTCATCCTCGGGCTTGACATCGCCGGTGGACAGGAATCGGGACTGCTTGATGGAAAGCTTGCCAGGCTCCTCGGTAACGGTCAGGACCGGGTGTCCAATCTTGGAGATCCAGGGGTGCATGATCTGGTTAATGTCCTTGCCAGAAGCCTCGGCCAGGGCATCCCAAAGGGCCTTGGTCTTGGCGTTGCCATAGGCGTGGGCCTTGAGGTAGTTGGACACGCCCTTGAGGAAGGTCTCGACTCCGAGGTGGTTGGCAAGCATGCGGATGGCAGAGCACCCCTTGAGGTAGCTGATGGCGTCGAAGATCTGGTTGACGTCGAGAGCGTCGCGGACGGGGACGTGGATGGGGTGGCTGGCGCGGATGCCGTCGAGGCGGAAAGCGTTCTCCATGCCCTCGCTGACGAACTGGGCCCAGACCTGCCAGTCAGGGTGCAGGTGGTCGACGGCGTGCCATCCAACCCAGGTGGCGAAGCCCTCGTTGAGCCACAGCTCGTCCCACCAGTCCATGGTGACGAGGTTGCCGAACCACTGGTGAGCAAGCTCGTGGGCAACGACGTAGGCGACGGCGTTCTTGAACCGGGCATCCGACGTCTTCTCGTCAAAGAGCAGCTGGGTGGTGCGGTAGGTGACGAGGCCCCAGTTCTCCATGGCGCCGTGGGTGAACTCGTGGACGGCGAGCAGGTCGGCCTTGGGCAGGGGGTAGTCAATGTCGAAGATCTCGGAGAAGTAGTCGATGATCTTGGGGGCGTGCTCCAGAGCCCAGCGGCCCTGCTCCTTGAGGCCGCGGGTGGTGTAGACGCGGACGGGGATCTGCTTGCCGTTGTACTTGCGGTCGGTCAGCTGCTCAATGTACTCGAAGTCGCCGACGGCCCAGGCCAGGAGATAGGTGCTCATGAGGGGCGAGGTCTCGAAGGAGACGAGGTGCCAGCCGTCCCTGGTGGGCTTGGTGTCCTTGACGGGCATGTTGCTCAGGGCGACCTGGTCGACGGGGATCTCGATCTCGAGGTCGTAGGTGGCCTTGAGGTTGGGCTCGTCGAAGCAGGGGAAGGCCCGGCGGGCGTCGCACGACTCGAACTGGGTGCTCAGCATGTAGTGCCACTCGTCGTCGCGGGGGACCGAGGCGGCCGGGGTGGCGGCGGGCTTGTACTTGCTGCGGTAGAAGCCGGCCATCTCGTTGTTGATGATGCCCTCGAAGTCGATGGCGACGGACGCCTTGCTGGCGGCGGGGATCTCGCTGTCAAAGGCGACGGTGGCGCGCTGGGCCTTTGCGTCGTAGGAGACGTTGGACGACTCCCATGTCTGCTCGGCCTTTGTGTGATCGAGGGTGACCTTGGCCTTGAGCAGCTTGAGCTCGAGGGCGTTGACGACGACTTCCTTGGTGGGCTTGACGATTTCCGACTGGATGCTGCGGAGGGTCTCAGTCAGATGCTGATGCTTGAACCGAGATGGTGCTTGTTGAAGCTATACTTACGTCACAGTGCCCTTGTAGGTCCACGTCTTGAAGTCGAGATCCCTCAGCGACAGGACATAGTGCGAGGGCTTGATGTTGTCGGGGAGAACGTCGCGGTCGGCCATTTTGTGCGGGTTGTTTGCTCTGGCGTGTGCAGAGCAGGATCGGGAGGGTATCAAGGGGAGAAGAAAGCTGGAGAGAGGAGGAAGAGAGAGGAGAAGGAGGGGCAGGTTAGCTTTTTGATGATGCAGCTTCTGGCAAATGATGCGAGGCAGGACGGCCGGAAGAGGAAAAGCAGCCAAGGGCCAACACAAAATCGGACAGAGAAGAAGATGGTGGCAATTGGAAGAGTGGGAAGAAGAAAAAAACAGGGGCTGCCACCAATTGCTGTTGCAGAGCAGCAACAAGGTAATGAATGGTCAAGTAATGAGAACCCGAGTTGAAGCTTTTCGTCCGGGAACTTTTTTGGTTCTTGTTTGCCGCTTTGAGCCGTTGGCCGCTGCGGGGCAGCCCAGACCAGCCTCAACGGTGGGGTTGCAGCTCCGAGCAAAAGTGCCAGGAAATTGTTGAACAAGCAGAACGATGGAGTACCAATTGTCTCGGGGAGCAACAAACAGACAGGGACAGCATACTGAGGAGTGGTTCGGGAGAGGGAGGTGGTATCATCACCGTGCAGCCAGCCGGACGCTAAGCCGCAGCCTGGAGCCGCTCAGCCCGGAAGCGGCGCAACGAGGCGTTTGTCGATGAATGGGAATGAATGGGATGAATGGGCGGCGCTTGGCATGGGATGGATGGATGGGGGGGGGCAGAACTGAGAGGAGACAGGAGAGATACAAGGGAATGGCGGACATACCTCCGAGTGCCAGACGACACAAGACCCAAGGACCGAGACCGAGACGATGGAGGCCAGAATACCGAGGAAGAAGACCGAGACGATGACCAAGATGCAGACGACGAAGGCGACAGAGATCGAGTTGACACAGATAGAGGCCGAGACAAGGCTGGCAACAACCAGCTGCTACCACTGAACCGCCATTGCTGCAGCCCCAGGGACAGTCCCAGTCCCAGTCCCAGTCCTCCTCTTATTCCTCCTCCTCCTCCTCCTCTTCCCATCATCAGCTCCCCGGCAGCGCTCACGAGCCGCCTCGGCACCAAACCCTTCATCGCCCCGCTCATAACACACAAATTGGACCCTTCGACTCGGTGCAAAAAGAATCAAGGGAATACCCAAAGTCCAGATCCTCAACACATGATAGAAAGAAGCTTTCACGAAAGATCCCCAAACACTCAAAGAAGGACGTCTCCAAGTTAATCAATGTCAAGCACAATTCCTAGAAAAAAAACTAAGAAGTGGGAATCACCCGCAAATCGGATGTTGAAAGCCGAGAAAAAAACAGGGTCTTCCAATTCCAGCGTCCTCGGCTCCGAAATTCACTCTCCACCGTACTCCGTATTCTATAGGCTAACGAAATAATAGGTCCGTCCTGCCAATGGGATCAAGCCAAGCCTCAGAGTCCCGAATAGGCTACAGTTTAGTCTAGCACTCTTGTAAGTTCATGCAGTTCTCAGCGGCTTCGTTCTTGTCAACATCGTCAGCTGTTACACAGAAAGCGGGACGGCGAAAGTGTCAGATATAGGTATCACTTGCATATCGCGAATTGAGCTACTACAAGGTCTACGAGAAATATAAATCTCCAAGTTCTGAAAAGCGCATGTTGTCATTCTTGATTGGCCAGCTACAGTAGCTACCACAACCCAAACCACACAAAGGAGACCAACCCACTCATGACAAGAAACACCCATACACGAGAAACATGTGTATATGTTACCACTACACGTGAAGCAGTAAGATGGGACCCCAGATGAAGCAAGAAACCAGGGACTGTCCTCCGGAAGACAAAACCCAAAAAGCTCGCATGAACAGACGATGTATGTATGCAGCGCTGAAAATAAAAGATGAAAAGAAAACCCCCCACCATCAGAAACAACGCTGCTGAGCCCCAGCTCATACCCAGAAATGACCCCCCTCGAATCGAATCGGTATCACGACGACAGACTGCTGAAGATACATAGGAAATAAGAGATGTAGAGGTTCCCGTAAAACGCCGCTTTGTGGATGGACTCTCTATAAGAAGTCCCCGTGTCTGAAATCCACCCAAAGAATATTGCAGAGTGAGACGACAAAACGAAAAATGGTAAGAAAGGGATAAAGACGCGAAGTCTCAAGAATTAATGGACGAGCTTCTTGGAAAAGCAGACTCGTCATTTCCAGCCGCCGCTCAGATGTCTGACACGGATCCTGCCTAAGCATCCCCGTCTTCCTGCTGGGCCTTGGTCGCAACAACGTCCCACCACGGCGCATGTGCCGCTCGGTCGACCGCGCCCACCTTGTCCAGCAGGTCAGACATCTCCCTCACCTTCTCCACAAACTCGGACAATCCAAGGCTGGCCAGCTTCTCGCCCGCCGTATTGGCGGCCTTGACCTTCTCGCTGGCCGAGCCCGAGGCCAGGCGAGCCAAAATGTTGCCCCGTAGACGCGTGAGGAGAAGGCGCAAGACCGGATCCCGCGGCTCCGTCCTCCGCTGGGCCATCTCGCGACTCGCCGTCAACACCTTGGTCACCAGGGCCCGCAGGTGAGTCTTGGTAGGGGCGGGCATGGAGCGTCCTGCCTCCAGAGCGGCCATGGTGCCGTCGACCGCCGTCTCGATCGAGGGGTGGTTGGCCTCGAGCACGGCCATGACGCGCGCCGCCTCCGTCTTCCATGCCGATCGCACATCGCGCTTAAGGAGATTCTTGCACTGCAGCAGAACGGCGCCCACGGTGATGATGCGCTGCACCATGGTCGACACCTGGTTGATGCGGGCCAGGTCGAGGCGTAGCATCTCGGGAACCTGCTCGGGGCCAACCGGCGTGGGCTGCGTAAAGACGTCCACGAGCATCTGGGCATAGATCTTGGACGCCGTCGGTCGCGACTTGGGGTGGTTGATGCCCTCGACATCACGCTTGTGCACCTCCGCCAGGACCTTGTCCCTGGCCGACCTCCAGGCCGCCTCGGCAACGGGCAAATTGTCTTGTTCGTCTCCCAGCTCCTCGGCAAATCGTTTCGCCTCGTACGGAACGGCTGATTCGATGAGCTGCGGTGCCGCAATCTTGAGCAGGTAGTTGATGTAGTCGCAAAGCATGACGTCGACGAACCGGTCGAGGGCCTCGATGCGGTCAATCACGCTGCCGTCGCCCAGCTTGTTCTGGACCAGGTCCTTGACCTGCTCGTCGCGGAACGGCGCGCAGAGCTTGGGCAGCAGGGATGCCATGGCGGAAAAGAACTTCTCGTACGAAAAGCTTCCCATCTCAAACTGCTTTTGCGCAATGTCCACGTCTAAAATCTCCCCAATCAGGTTGTACATGGGGTTACCCTCCTTCAACGGTCGCTGCAGCTTGTCCTTGATGTGGCTCGCCCTGAGCATGAATATCCGGAAATTCGCTTCGTCCGAAGCATCTCCCATCGCCGCCCTCATCTGGACGTAGAGAGGTCGAGAGAAGGCAGCCTGCTGCTCCACGTATTCCTCGGCCGGGATCTGGTACTCCTTGTTGATGGCCAGCTCGTGCACGACGACGCGGTTGTCCGGAATCAGTCCGTTCAGGCCGGGCTTGACGGTCGTCGTCGCCCTGGCCTGGCTCTTGCTGGCCGGCGTCGAGGGTGGCGTGAGCAGATGAGAGTCGGAGGAGACGAAGTCGTTGGCCGTCGTCTGGGCGTCTCCCGACACGCTGTCGCTGTCGGCGACGCGAGGCTTGGTGTCGCCAGCCTGCTTCTTGGCCTTGCGTGCCCGTCTCGCCTCTCTGATGGCGTCCATGAACAGCTTCTTGCCCCTTTCCGCGCCCGCTAGCCTCTTGATCCGTACAATCAGCATGGTCTGGCTGTCTTCGATGCTCTTGCGATAGAGCGCCGCGGCGGCATCGTCTGATGATTCCTTGACAGTGTGGTAGATGGCGTCCAGTTCCACCATCTGCATCAGCATGACCTCGATGAGGGCGTTCGAGTCCCTCGACTTCCACGCGATGAATGCGTTGTAAAAGACCGAGTAGGCCTGCTGAAGCGTCGTCTGCAATGAAGGGGGCATTGTGTACCGGTTGGCTGGCGTCAGCCAGGTCAAGATGTTCTCAAAGGATATCAGCACGTCCTTGGCCTTGTCTACCAAGTCTTGCAGCTGAGGATTGTTCAGCTCGGTGGCGGGCAGTCGATGGCGGCTCAGCTGCGCTTCCACCTCCCTGTCCTCCGCCCCGTCGTCCATGTTGTTGAGGACCTGGTCAGGATGGCCGAGGATGAGAAACGCACTGAGGAACGTGCGAACCGCAGCCATCTCCTCAACAGAGCCCGGCTCGCCCTCTTGGAGACCGCAGATCCGGAGAAGCCGGGCGGTGATGAGAAGCACCTTCTCCTGAGCAAGCAGCTCAACAACGGTATCAAACGAAGTATCCCTGATGCTGTCCACGCTCAGGCCGAGAGCGTGGAACTCTTGAAGAACTTTCCTCCTCATACACCCACGCCACCATGTCTGAATCTTGGTGGCTGCCTCTTCGTCGGTCATCTTTTTTGCGTGTGATAGTGCTTCCGCGGAAGGCTTCTTGGTAACGACGCTCAGTCCTCTAGTACGCTTGACTGCCGTCTTGTTTCGAAGCTCCTCTCGCCGCCTCTGCGCCTCGGCCATGCGTTCCTCCATCTGCGCCTTCATCTTGGCGATTTCCTGCTCGCGCCGCTCCTTGGTCGACTCGGCGATCTGCTTGGCCTTTTTGACCTCCTCGGCGCAGTTGGCCACGATCTCGGCCAGGTTGCGCTGCCGCGCCTGCTGCGCAGCCAGCGCGCGTTCCTCCGAGGTCGTCTGGCCGCGCGGGGCCGCCTTGGCCAGGGCAGCCCGCAGGCGCACCTTTTCCGCGTGGGCGGCCCTGTCCGCCAGCCGGGCGCGGCGGTCTTCTAGAAAGTTTGTGCGGCGGACGTGCTGGGCGACGTATTTGCTCTGGTCGCCATCGCGGCGGCTGGACGGCTGGATGGACGAGCAGCGGGAGTGGGCGGAGGAGAAGGAGTTGCGGCGGGACGAGGCGGCCGAGTCTCTGCGGCGAGCCTGCGAGGGTCGGTAGAAGCGGGCGGCGATGCGCGGCGGGGGCGTGAAGATGCGTCTGTCGCTTTCGTGCACGTCTTCCTCGACGGACGGCATGGTGAGGTCAAGGTCCATGTCCATGTCCATGCCCAGGTTGTCGTCTGAGAATGCGCAGTCCGAGTCGTCAAAGCTGTCCACGCGCCCGGTTAGGTCGGCGGAATGGCGACGCTGCAGAGCGTCCGCCTTGCCGGTTTCGTTCATAGTGAATGGTGTTTCAAAATCGTGGTTGTGGTTTGTGTATTCGCAAGTCGTAGGTTGCCGGTTGCGGTCGACGGCAAGGTCACGAACGTGGCTGCGGAACTTATCGACACCTCCAGCTCGCTGGTGCTGCCGTGGGGCTAGAATGTAGTCGGTCTAGGGAGAAAACCGTAGAAGCAGTGCGCAACTGTGGCGTCTGATTGCGTCGGGAAAGGCAGTCGATGTGCCCAGAACGAGGCTTGGTGGCATGTGGCGGCGCGGTGCCTTGCCTTGCCTTGCCTTGCCTTGCCTTGCGTAAGGTATGTAACGTAGGTGTGCGTGTGTGCGTGTGTGTGTAGATGTCAAGGTCGTCTTGTCCTTGATTCTGCGCCGTCGAACCCCCGAAAAACTAGCAGCCCGTCTTGCCGACTGGGGATTCGGTGTGCTGATGCTGCAGCAAACAAGGCGGCCTCTGCTGATGAACAAAGAGAAGAGAAGAGAAGCGAAGAAAAAGAGCGAGAGAGAACGAGAGAGAATCCGAGGCGTCACAGCCGAGAGGGCGCGCACGTATCAGACAGTGCAAGTATGTAAAGTGAGAGAATGGCCCTGGTCTGTTTCGAAGGAGGGAAATCGACAGGCCGCTGAGGCAGCGATGACGGATGACTGATCCGGACTTGGTGCAGAAGCGGAAAGGCTTCAATAGCTGTGCCTGTACCTGTACCTGTACTTGGTCGTAACAGCGGTGATGGCTGCCTGTAGCCCCCTGTTTGCGCCAAAGGCACAGCGCCCAGGATGCTAAAGCTTGGCCGCCCTTCTGCAGATATTCACGCTCTACTATTACTACTGGCATCACCGGAATCATGATGCCTGCTCGTCTTGGCCATTTGTTGAGCTTCCCTCCAAGGGTTCACGCTCCTCATGCGCGCCAGGCTGATTGCAGTGACCAGCATCATGCTGCACATCAGCACGTCGGTAAGCAATCATGCTACCCGACAGTTCAGCACCTCGGTCCATACATACCCAGTAGTAGTCGACTCGTAACAGTGATAGCCTCCAGTATTACTCTAGCGTTTGAAAGCGGCCTCATCCTTCACGTTTACCCCTGTACCGTATCGTCTGAACAAAATATACAGGTACCGGTACAGTACCAGGACCCCGAAAACGTCATCCGCGCACGCAAAGAGATCATGCAGCTGCATCTGCTCCATTAAACCATCTTCGAGACTCACAACTTCAAGTTCCCCATCCATCACATCCAATGTACATACAGACACAACCCTCTCTTCTTCTTCTTCTTCCTCCTCCTCCTCCTGATTCTTCTAGATAATCCCAATTCCGGGTCATCACAGAAAGTACCAATACACCCGTCTGCCAGCGGGGGTGTTAATTTGAGACGCCCAACCGACTGATTGGCAATCACCTTCCATTCCCTTCCACGCCATCCATCCCAAGCCAGGTTTTCTTGATTTCTTGTTCCCAGGCAATCGGCGTCAGATAATCATGCCACTCAACTACAAAAAACAGAGATATACTATATGATAGATATGTCTTGAGAAGCCCAACACTGTAACCCCATTACCCCAATCAAATCTCTCGCGAGTGACCCCTATATCGTCATATAAGGTGTGTCGTGCATAGAAGTCTCGCGAAAGAGCAGTTCTATTTATAGCATCCCTTTATTCCCACCACTTCAACTTTTTTCCCTTCCACACATACTATCAGAAAGCCCATCACCAACGACAACTCTCGAATCAGTCAGTAGTAGTAATGGCGTGATTGTGATACAATTCCCCCATCCCCATCCACAGAACCCCTGCTCAGCATCGCCCTCCCGCATCATCCGGAACTACCTAGTACCTTACCTAGCTAGAATCCCATCACTGCCTCATCCTTATAACGCGTTCAATTTACGTATTTTTCCATATTCGTCACCTCCATCTGTTATCAACCAAGCTATGTATGTAGGTAAGGCAAGGTAAGGCAAGATAGTAGGTATTCTATCTGACACAAATCATGTCCCAACCCATCCCCTCCAAAACCCCAGATTTTCCCCAGCAATCTGCTCCTCGGTAGCGTTACTCCGTACCACTCCTACCTAAGTACCTCTAAACGACACGCAAACCTCCCCGCGTGTGAGACAGCAAAGGTATGCCATATGCACGTCTTGTCTCAGACCAGATATATCGCTTCAATACGGAGTAGTAGTAGTATACCTCTCAGGAACCTACCTTATATTGCCATGCACTACGTAGGTACCCCATGTACTTGCGTGTCTCAAGATGTATTCGCGCACGCGCCCATGCCGCGGGTGTCTTTTGCTCACTTCTCCCGTCCCCATCCCTGGAAGCGATACCTCTAATGCAAGTCATCCACTCCTCCTTGCATTACATACAAGCCACTGCCTACGACTCCGTGATACAAGTAGTACCTACCTAGTCCCGACATTCACTCAGTACCTTAAGAGAAATATGAATCTTCCAAAGCAAAGCAAATATATATTCAGTTAATATATATACACATATACTCTGTAGTGTGGTGTGTCTCTCAGTTCGTTTACTATGCCATAACCATTCGTATTCCACGTTCGACATGTACGCTTCCTGTTGTTCCGCGTGAATGCCATTCATCGTCGTTAGAAAGACCACGAAACCAATTATCAAGTCAAACCCCAACGCCTGTTTGTCCTGCTGTGCCCGCTCGTCTTTTTTGCTGTGCTCCTTGTAAAGTGCCATGATGCCCCAACCCCCACTCGTGTTCGTTTGGTGAGCCCATCTTGCAAACCACATACGGGATGCATTTCTAGCAACTGGTAATTAGTAAAGTAAAGAAGAAAACAGATCTTCATTATGAGAGCTGGTAGCTCTCGCTTTGATGCCGCCGGCCGGGCGTGCTGCCCGTGCCTCTGTCGTGCAGTCGGTGAATCCATTCTAGCACCGTCTCGTAGCACAACACGTACTGCCGCAGGCTCTGAACCATGCTGATTCTTTGCTCGCGGAAGTCTTCTACTGTCTTTTGGATCAGGTCAACCGATTCGTCCCGCAGCCAGGACACGTCGATGGACTGGTGTCCTTGGCTTTCGGACGGATTCTGAAATCTTGGCTGCTGCTCCAGGTTGAATTTGAAGCCCATCTCCTTGTTCGTCTTGGGAGAAATGGCGTCGTCAAAGTCCGTCATGGGCGTGTCTCCCCCTGCATCCTGAGCAGGCTGCTGTCCTCCGGGCATCTTGGCCAGCCGCTGACGCTTCAGCATGTCAATCACGCTGTCCACGGTGCAGAACGCTCCCGTCCGGCCACACCCTGCGGAACAGTGGACAAGCATCGGCCGGCTCGCGCTGTCGGCTTCGGGCTCGTCGTACCACGAATGGGACGCCATGTCATGAGCAATCTTGCTGGAACCCACAATCGACGACGTTTCGACTGGGAGAGCCGCGCGCTGCATCACGTTGGCCAGCTCTACCAAGGCAAGTAGGTGAGACGGCTGCGCCGGCGTACCAAAATCGGGCCAAGAGGAGAAGTGAAGGTGAGTAATCTCTCGGATGGGAGCAAAGGGATGGGCGGAATGAGTAAGCGCAAACTTGCGAATAGTAACAAACGCCTCGGATTGCGATGAAGGAGGAGGGGGATTGGCCGCAGCCGTCTCGAGCGTCGTCGTGGTGTTGGCTCGCTTGCGACTGGCCTCGTTCGATGACGCGCCGCCGTTGTTGCTTTGCGCGTTGGGGGAGCGATGCTTGTCGAGGTCGAGTGATGCCTTCTTTTCAGAAAGCTGCTTCAGCTTGATGGGGCCGTATTCGCGATCCTTCCAGTATGTGTGACACTTCAATTGGCCTCCTTCAGACTCGGCCGTCAACATGACGATGACGCGAACATCTTGCTCCCAGATAACAGACCAAAAGTCCTATGAAGACGAGTTAGCAAAGCAGCTATGGCAAAGGCAGCGCTTCCACAGTCTTGCACTCTCAAGCTCACCTCAAAAGTGTCGGGCAAGGGACCTTGACTGGCAATATATCGCTTGTTACTCCCCGACGCGGTGATGTGACTGGCGTTGACATAGTCGCAGGTACCCTCGGGCCTGTTCTGAAGCTTGACACGCGCGTGCTCAAAGGGAAGAATGTCCTTGTAGCGGTTCTTGCCGCCCTTTTCAACTCCCGAGAGCTGCACCCGGCCGTTCATGGCCGGGTTGTGAGAGGGGTTGCCCTCGTTGAACGCGGCATACGCGTTCTGCATCCGAGTCTTTTCCTCCAGCTCAATTCGCAGGAAGCGGTCCGACACCCGCTTGCCGTGGTCGGGCTGCGCCGCCGCATCGCGAAGCCACATGGGGAGCACATTCGGCTCCAGTCCGTGAGGCCAGGCAACATCCAGCTGACCGACGCCATCCGCCAAGTCCATGTTCTGTCGAATGTTGGAGAAGAACGGGTTCTTGGACGTGGGCAGCATGACGCCGCCAATGACGGGAGCAAGACCTCGCATGGCACCGGGAGGAGCGCTGCCTTCAGAAGGCTCGGTGGACACAGTCGAACTGCTGTCGACCAATTCGGGATACGACGTCACAAACCCTTGGAAGCCTCCTCTGAGTATGCCAGTCTCTCCGGTATAGCCCTCGTTGGTGAACTTCTTGATCATGTTCTGCGCCGCAACGGTGTCGCGCTTGTCTGACGAGCGAGAGTCGTATACGATGATTCTGTCTACGTCCCGCCACGTGGAGAACTTGTCTCCCGCCGAGGGGTCGTGAAAAGTCTGCTGCAGCTTTTCAGTGTTGTATGTGGCCCGCTTCAGGAGTGTAGTGGGGATGCAGAGGTTCAGCGCTCCCTTGATCCGAGACGAAGCGTAGTTGTTCGATGACCGGATGTCCAACAGCAGGAGGCTATCCTCGTCCTCGGTCTC